TGCGATTTCAAAACAAATAATAAATATTACTTTAAACAGCACCTTTTATGTCATACTGATTCTAAAGATTTTAAATGTGCTCATTGTGATTACGAGACAAATATCAAAGACTACTATAAACGACACCTTTTAAAACATGCCGATTCTAAAGATTTAAAATGTGCTAATTGCAATTACGAGACAAATAACAAACAGTGCCTTAAACGACACCTTTTAAAACATACCAAATCCAAAGACTTTAAATGCGGTAATTGTGATTACGAGACAAATAAGAAACACCATTTTGAGCGACACCTTTTAAAATATACCGACATCAATTTTAAATGTGCTCATTGTGATTATGCAACAAAATATAAAGAATATCTTAAACTACATCTTTTAAAACATACTGATTTCATCAAAGATTTTAAATGTGCCAAGTGTGATTACGAGACAAATGACAAACGGTGCTTGAAACGACACCTTTTAAAACACATTGATTCCAAAGTTTTTAAATGTGCTAATTGTAATTTCGAGACAAATCATAAATACCACTTTAAAGAACACCTTTTGAAACATACGGATCCCAAACATTTTAAATGTGCCAATTGTGATTATGAGGCAAATAACAAAACCAGCTTGAAACGACACCTTTTAATTCATATCGATTCTAAAGATTTTAAATGTGCTAATTGTGATTACGAGACAAATAACAAACAGTACTTTAAACAGCACCTTTTAAAACATACTGTTTCCAAAGTTTTTAAATGTGCCAACTGTGTTTTTGAGACGAGTAGGAAATACTACTTTAAACAACATCTTTTAAAACATAGTGATTCTAAAGATTTTAAATGCACTCATTGCGATTACGAGACAATGAACAAACGCTACTTTAAACGACACGTTGTAAAACATAGCGATTCTAAAAATTTGAAATGTGCTAATTGTGATTACAAAACAAATGATAAATGCTACTTTAAACTACACCTTTTACGTCATATTGATTCAAAAGCTCTTAAATGTGCTAGTTGTAGTTACGGTACCAATAATAAATACTACTTTAAACGACACCTTTTAAGACATACCGATTCTAAAGATTTTAAATGCGCTAATTGTGATTACGAGACAAACCACAAACACTGCTTCAAACAACACCTTTTAAATCATAAAGCTTCTAAAGATTTTAAATGTGCCGACTGTGATTACGAGACAAACAATAAATACGGCTTTAAACGACACCTTTTAAAACATAAAGCTTCCAAAGATTTTAAATGTGCTCATTGTAATTATGGAACAAATTATAAATCCTACTTTAAAAAACACATTTTAAAACATACCAAGTGTAAAGATTTTAAATGTGCTCATTGCGATTATGAGACACATAACAAATCCTGTCTTAAACAACACCTTTTAAGACACACTAAACGTTTTTACAAGGAACAAATGTCTCGTTAAGTTATTATTATTATTATTATTATTATTATGTGTGTGGCTTCGTGAGGAGCGGTCTATGTCCTAATTTACGTTAATAACAATTCGAATGTTGACTAAATGTTTGTGGGCGTAGGCCTACTTATTTATTCATATAAAAAAAACATGTATAAATCAATCATACGCTACTATCTGTTGAATTAAAATAATTAAGATCGCAAAAAAATGCTTTTAAGACTTTGAATTTCTACCTATATCCTGTACTTGAGACTATGAGGCAAGCAAGGGACGCCGGACTTGAAGAGACCCAACCGGACTAGTATAATTCAAGGTGAGAATACCCAGGAATCCGTGCTGGATAATGTATGAACAAGCGGTTGGTGTAGTGGGGCCCGCCGATGACCTCACGGATATGTGAAACTAACAAAACTTCAAATATTATAATATTTCAATTAATCCGAGTTTGTTAAATTGGCTCAGCCGTTTCGAAGATACAGGGTGTTCTTTACGGAAACCTTTCAATACCCCCCACCACTTCATTTTTAGAGATACAACAATAATTGTTAAAGAAAGAAGGTTCAGATTATCGTCGACTTCAAAGACAGGGTATTTTTTTGTTAGGTTATTATAGCGCAGTTCACAGAAACATCACTTTTTTAGATTGTAGATTGCAGTGCCGCCCCCTAGTGGGCATTTCAGAAACTTAAAAATTTTTTTCCAGGTTTTTCTCGTGGCCGTTTTAGTAATAATTTTTTTAACGCAAGCCTCTACGATGGACAGGTTCCTAGATACAGTACCCCGCATTCTTATTTGGCCACCCTGTACAATAGAGGTACGCCACTGGTCAAGAAATGCAAACAGCTGATGGAAACAAAAAAAGTAAACACAGTTTGACAACCTAGAATATGGCCGCGACACGCAAATTGGCTTCGACGCACAGTGGATATCAGTCCTTGCATAGTCTAGTACCATACCATAACCTACAAATTGAGATTACGCTTGAACTGTCAACGCCCGGTTACAGAACCTAGGACTGTAAGACATTTGTATTGTTTAATAACATTCTTTATTTTTATAAACAAAACCATATTGTAACACTTTCTTGATATTGGTATTCATGCTAGATATGGACGAAATGCCACTCATTAAAATCGAACCAAAACATGAAGAAGAAATCAATTTCGGCCTCCAAGGAAATATTTTAGTGAGCAACGAATCATTGGTTACAATAAAGGATGAACGCATTATTGAGCAGTCCTCCAAATCGCTGTATAATGAAAAAGCACAACAAACTGATTGTGGAAGGGATATTAAAATAGAAACTTCCAATGACACACCAAATAGTAAGCTGCAAGTTAGACAACATCTTTTAAAGCATAATGTTTCAGAAGGCTATAACTGTGAACATTATGATTTTGGAACAAAGAATAAACAACTGCTTCAAGGACACATTTTAACACACAAACATAATGTGCTACAATGTGCTAGTTGTGATTACAAGACAAATAACAAATACCACTTTAAAAAGACACCTTTTAACACATACTGACGATAAGGATTTTAAATGTGCTAATTGTGATTACAAAACGAATACCAAATACCACTATACACAACACCTTTTAACACATAACGCTTCTAAAGATTTTAAATGTGCTTATTGTGATTATGGATCAAATAATAAAAGATATCTTAAAGAACACCTTTTAAAACATACCGTTTCTAAAGATTTTAAATGCGCCAACTGTGATTACGAGTCAAATAACAAGCAGTACTTTAAGCGGCACCTTTTAAAACATACTGTTACTAAAATTTTTAAATGTACTAATTGCGATTACGAGACAATGACCAAAAGCCACTTGAAACGGCACCTTTTAAAACATACCGATCGGAAAGGTTTTAAATGTGCTAATTGTGATTACAAAACAAATGATAAATACTACTTTAAAAGACACATTTTAAAACATGCCGATTCTAAAGATTTTAAGTGTCCTAATTGTGATTACAAGACAAATAACAAACATTATTTTAAGCGACACCTTTTAAAACATACTAATGTTAAAGATTTTAAATGTGCTGATTGTGATTATGAGACAATGAATAAACACCACTTTAAACGACACGTTTTAACACATAGCGATTCTAAAGACTTTAAATGTGCTTATTGTGATTACAAAACAAATGATAAGTACTACTTTAAAAGACACCTTTTATGTCATACTGAATCTAAAGATTTTAAATGTGCCAGTTGTAATTACGAGACAAATCATAAATACTGCTTTAAACGACACCTTTTAAAACATACTAATGTTAAAGATTTTAAATGTGTCAATTGTGATTATGAGACAATGAACAAATACTACTTTAAACAACACCTGTCAAATCATACCAGTTATAAAGATTTGAAATGTGCTCATTGTGATTATAATACACTTAACAAGGTTTGTCTTAAACGACACCTTTTAACGCACAGAAAGTATTAATTCTGTAGTATGTGGTTTTTTCATGAGAGGGAGGTCTTGCGTTTTCATAGCGCATTAGTCCTCCACCTTTAAGATTTTAAAAAATTTTTCCTGTATCAACTGATAATTAGAAATAGACATGTGTTAGGTTGCAGAAACTGATGATTTAAAGTAATTTTTTAAAGAAAGAATAAATTTTTCATTTACTTATCCGTATCGTATACAACGATTGACTTCCCTTCGTAAGGGTCCAATTTGTTCCGCCCCCTCGAGGTAGGTATATTTGCGAGTGCGTACGAGCGCTACCTTTCGCAATTCGCCTGTTTAACCAATCAATCTGATTAATGACTTGCGCCCCTCTATTCTATCTTTTCCCCTTAAATTCAATTCTAGGTATCAAGTATCAATTCCAGCACTTATCTTTACCCCTTGTCCTGTTGGTTGGATTCCTACTCTGTCTTTACCTCCTCACAATTTAATTAGATCCACGAGCGTTATTTTGTCTTGATAAAGACTTCCGCTTGAGCTTCGAATATAAGGTTGAATTATGTCTAGACGTTACGAATTTTTTTACTTAAACAGCGCTCACTAAAAACCACGTTTGCACTCGTTGCCGGCCCGAAGTCGAATCCCAAGAGAAGAAGGTAAATTAAAAAATTATAGAAAATTGAGAACGAAGTAAAAGATTGTTTCATAGCCTACTGTGACTTAAAGCATAGAGACTCTTTGCTTAAAGTAATAAAGTTTTAAAATCGCATAGAAAACCAATATGATTCATGGTGTGTTCCGCGTGACGCAGTTCAAAGGAAGAGGGGATTTCAACGTTGCCACTTTGCCTTAAAATCTATCATAACACATAAAAGAACCGCTATAGTTTAACACTACGTAGCAGTTTATTCGTGCTAACATATCGGACGTTAGATGGCTCTGCTTCCCCCAGAGTTGCCAACTGTAAGTATATAGGGCAAGTCATGATTCTAGTACCGAATTGACCTTAAGACTCTTTTTGAAAACGTAGTAAAGGGAGAAGTTCACCATAAAAATGTTGAGAATTTAATCAATTCGCTTATTTTTCTTTGTAATAGATTTATTAAATCACGTTTCAGTCATGAAATTGCTTATTTTAATTACACTAAAGAAATATAACTAAAACAAAAAAAATACTAAAGTTAAAAAAGTGCATACGATGTAACGATATAAAAAATAAAAATATTTGTTGTCGCGAGTCACATTTAATTTCTAAAGTACATTGTGTTAAAAATAACACTTGGGTTTTTAAGTGGAGTATCGCAATGATCACACTTGGGAAGTACCGTGTGTTAAAAGATGACGCTGCAAACGACCGTTAGTATTAGTGGCATAGTTGCACTGATTGCAAGCGAAATGTTTGGACGTTCTCTGATGATGTTTCCAATCATTCTGATTATCAGTGCTATAATTGCACTGCTTGCAAGTGTAAGGTTTGAGAGCCACGTTGTGCGTTAAAAGGTGGCCCTTCAAGTTACCCTTAAAATTCGTGGCGTACTTGCACTGATGGCAATTGAAAGCTTTGGAACTGTTGTGTCTTAAAATATGCCGCATTAAAGTAGTCTTGACGTTTGTGGTATACTCACAATGGTAGCAACTCAAATTCTTCGAGGCGTGTCTTAAAACATGATTTTTTAAATGATCCTTGTTGTCCGTGGAATAATTGCACTGCTTACATTTGAAGTCTTTGAAAATATTATGTGTTGCCAAATGAAGTCTTAAAGTGACTTTGTTATTAGTTGCGTAATCGCAATGGTCACATTTAATAACTTTGGAATTATTGTGCGTCGTAAGATGATATCTTAAACAATCTTTCACATTTGTGGCATAATCACACTGATTGCACATCAAACTTTTGACAGCATGACACAGTAAAATATGATTCTTTAATTTATATTGGGCACTTGTGGCAAAGTCACATTGATCGCAAGCAAAATTCTCGGAAGCGCTGTGTAGTAAAATATGACGCGCCAAGCTATCCTTCCTATTCGTGGCGTAATTGCACTGATGGCAAATGAAATGTTTGAAAGCTCTCTGATGATGTTTCCAATCCTTCGGATTATCGGTGGAATAATTGCACGGGATGCAACAGTAATGTTTGGGAGCGTTATGTGTCGAACGATGATTCTTTAACTTGTCCTTATTATTGGTGGCGAAGCTGCACTGAGTGCAAGTGAATTTTTTGAAAGTGTGATGTTGATAAAAATGGTTATTTAAATTTGATTTCCCCGCCGTTGAATAATCGCAATAGTCACATTTAAAAATATTATGCGTTTTCAAATGACGCTTTAAGTAAGTTTCACGATGCGTCACGTAATCGCACTGGTCACACTTAACATCCTTGAAAGCGTTGTGTGTTAAAATGTGATTCTTTAAACACTGCCTAGAATTCGTGGAATAATTACATTGAGCGCAAATATATTTTTTCGAAGCGGAATGTTTTAAAACATGCCGCCTGAAATTTAGTTTGGTTTTTGTTACGTAATTGCACTGCTCACATTTAAAGTCGTTGGACAAGCTATGAATCGCCATATGGTTTTTTAAGTAACTTTTCTTATTTGTTACAAAATTGCAACGGTCACATTTTATATCTCTGGAAGCATGTGTTAAAAGATGTTGCTTTAAAAGTTGATCAGTTTTTGTGGCGAAAGCGCATTGGTGACATTTAAAGTCTTTAGAACTTTTATGTGTTATAAAATGACGCCTTAAATTAGTCTTAATGTTTGATGTATAGTTGCATTGGTCACACCTTAAAAGGTTCAAGAAATTGTGCCGTAAAATATGACGCTTTAAATTATTTTTCTTATTCTTTCCGTTTGTTGCGCAATTACATTGACCACAGTTTAAATATTGACAAGAAGAATGCCTTAAAAGATGACTTTCCAAACTATCCTTTCTATTTGTGGCAAAGTCGCAATGATAACAACTGAAAGGTTTTGCAGTGCTGTGTATTAAAACATGGCGCTTCAAATGACTCTGATTATTGCTGCCATAACTGCATCGATTGCAAACGAAACGCCTTGTACACTTTTTTAAATGAACTTCTAACCATGACTTATTTGTCGTGGCATAGCTGCAGTGGTAGCATTTACAAATGTGGTCCCCGACTCCGTTTCGAGAAAGTAAAACTACGCACCGCTTAAAATTGACACATTTCGGGAAATGCTCACTAAGTCTTTGCTTACATGTGGTAGGGCACGCCACACATTTAATCGAAAGGGAACCGCTACGGACGCCGTTTCGTTCTTCTAAAGGCAATTCGTACACGTCATCCTCCAGCAGTTGGTCGTTCCCTCGGTCGTTCCCGTCCGAACGATCAGCACAACGTTCCTGCTTTATTTCGGCGGACGCCTCATTTATAAAATCCAGCGTCTCCAGAGAGGTGCAGACGTCGGCATCCTGGTTGAATTCCGTCTTCATGGTGATATCATCGTGGGTGACCATGTCGCTGATTAATCAGATAAAGGTCTTACTATCTACAGAAGGTAAAGCTTCACTTACCTGGTGGTACCCGGTTTCGGTCGAGGCGACCCACAAGTCCGGTAAAACAGTTAAACGATAAGGTGCAGAAAAACGCGGGTAAATTCTATGCAAAAAGTTAGGTTATATCAACTGGCTGTAGCTCAAGTACCGGTAACGGTCACTTACACCCAGTGGCGTGTTTTTAAATTTCCGATAAATCAATTGCAACAGATCATTTTGTTCTAATTACGGTCGGTTGCCGTTACCGAGACGCGTTATTTACTCTTAGGAATAATTTTCTTTAAAATAATTCAATGTAATGGTATAAGTGGCGTGAATGTTTTGTTTTGCGATACGTTAAATTTGTCGACGGAACCGAGTTGAGATTCATTGCACTTAAGCCCTTAAAACATGCAGCAATGACGTCATCAGTCGTGCGTTTTTTTTTGCGATTTTTAGTTAAATAGGCCGCGAAAACGAATGACGTACTTATTTTCCTTATAATGGGAATTTTCCGCCATTTTAAAAAATTAAACGTCAAAGTGACGGACGAGTCCATGTCGCGAAAAACGAAGGTGGGTCCGCGATCGTAGCGCTACTTTTGCGAAATCATGAGGAACGGACGCGAGTAAACTGACGAAATTGCTTTTTGGAGCTTCACGGTAGGTAACAATCATCCCCGACGCTTTTTAGCGCCAATTTCCTTCTTAAAACATATCACCGAGTTTTAAATGTGCGTAAACTAAGTTCTAGGGAGTTCACTGAAACCAAATCGTTAATAGAAATGCATTGACACCAAAATTACAGGATTTCAATACGACTTTCTATACAGTTGGTAGCAGTGCTTGTATGTTGTAGTTCTAATTGGTTATGAAATTATAACCTCACTTTCATCTTAATGTTTATATTTACGATGAAAGTAGTAGTAGTAGATAGTAGGCTCTAATACGATAAAGACAGCTTCATATGTACCTAATTACTAATTCCATATAAACCAGTTTTGTCTTAACTTATGTTTGCAAGTAGTTATAATCCAATGTGAATCTGTGGGTGGTCTGATGTGAATAAATGTAACAAATGGGAGCGTTGGTCAGGGACGGACTTAAGAAATTAAAGTTGGCAGTTACAGATTTGTGTACTATGGGCTTTAATATTAATGAAAATTAGACCACGCGAAACTATCAATTAATTGTAATTGGAAATTGAAATAAGTTTGCTAATTACGCAAGCTACTAGTGAATTACATTAACTTAGCCGAAAGGATTAATTAATGAGTATGCATTGAAGTGCACTGGTTCGAGATTGGTTGTAAATTGTTTACGATGGCCGATACAGTAAGGTCAAAATGTTAGTTCTGTAAGAAGCAGGCCTAGGCTGAACTACGCCTATTATATTACAGACATTCTATCAGTGGAGCCAATAGAGCCTCCAAAATTTAATTATGTGGACCAACCCCTAATATACCAGTTCGCGTTCTCGTAGTTAATCAATCCCGAGTACTGTCATTTTGCGCGCGCTCGTTAGACCGAAGTTAAAAAGAGGACAGAGTCCCCTCCCGGATCCACACTTATCGGGAAACATAAAATGGCATACAAAGCCAATTATTATATTACTAAAATCGTCGAGAATCCTTTCGGATTTCTCTACTCCACGCGCCAAACTTTTCGACGGGTAGAAACCATGGAGTCTAATAATCACCCGCCTAGGATGCTTGGCTTCGCCACGAAATTGTGACTACTAAGCCCCACCACCACGACAAGGTGCATCCAATGGTGGGGGACAACGGACCACAGTTGACAGTTCAGTGAAATGATGCCAAAGATGACCCATTCACTACTTAGGATTTACTCAAACGCCGATAACTGCTTATCAGCCGTCCGCCAACTCCGAGGGAAGACGTAACCGTGGGAAGACCCAATTGGCCATTATCTGTCGAGACGAGCACATCTCATGGAGGGAAGCTCTCCCTGCACTGAGATTCGATATGAATATTAATCGCAATGCTACGCTAACTTCACACTACCAGAACACGGAAATAAAGTCAACCCGGCAACGTTTGAAAATGGCCACCCGAGTGACTATCACACATTAAAATAAAATGATCAAAATTTATATGAATGTTACTTCTGGGACAAGACCAAGTAATCAACATCAATAAGCATAAATTAAGCAAGCATTACACCAAAAACGTAAACAATTACAAACAACAGCATAACGATATCACATATGTGATTCTGCATTGCGGTTAAACCAAGTAAATTTCAAAAACAAAGATTCAAACACACAAAAAATATAAAATGTGGCATACAAAACACAAATTTGATATAAAGAAATGCAAAAATTACTACCTGCATTAAATAACACAAAATAACAACAAACATTTATGGAGCGACGCGTTCACGACCGCCATTCAAGACAAGATGCCAAACGTAACTCCCGCGACCCGTTCGTGCTTTCTAGGTGGCGCAGGCAGCTTTTCCCCACCTAGAAATTGCATGGTTGCCAACTCTCAAAAATATATGTATCGTCGTAAGTTGCATATACAGGGTGGAACCTCTCAAAGTTAACGATACTTGGTCCGAGACCAAAACCAACGATTTTTCGGTTTTGGTTTGTTTTACTTTTAAGAATTTACCCATACTAGTTTGTTTACGTTGCTATTGAATAGAAATTTTTATGCTTTCACATTGGTACAGATGTAAAGACAATTAGTAGGCGAACCCAATTTTACTTTTACTAGGTTAAAGTCATTCGAGTTATTGAGTCATTTTAAGTATTAGTTGCAGTTCTCAGTATACGATTAGCCTCAGTGTCAGACGTGTCAGCAGTGTCTGCGCGATATTTTGTGCAGCGCGATCATTACTCACGATATTTACTGAAGACCTACTGGCGCCTATTCAGATTACTATTACTATTTTTCCCTTTTGCTTGTAGTTGAGAACCCCGACCCACCGTAACATAGTCCACATAGATTTGATATGGCGTCATTCTTCACTGAGTTTGTCTTTGTTGAAAATTCCCCTAGGTCCAGGTGCATATTTGTTGGTATATGAAGTTCTTTATCTACGGGAAGTTGACAAACGGCCCAAAAGGTACGGTCCGTCCCTGATCGCAAACCGTAGATATCAGTAGATAGGTTTGCATTTGGATATCGATCAAAGTTCATGAGTATGCGTGCTGTCTTTCCTGACAATGTTACTTTCTGCGTCGGATTTTATTTCTATTTGGATTTGTTTTACATTGACCAGCTATTAATTTTTATTCGATTGTTTAAACTCATTTAGATTGATTAGCGACTTCAATTCTTTCTGTATGAATCTGACTAACTTTAGTCTAAGGTTACCGTACCCAGGATCTTCAGATACTTTCTGGACTGGAAGATAAAGACAAAGGCATAGCGGGGCAGTAGTATTTTTGCGTCATTGCGAAGCCACTGGGCGAATCGCTGCAAGTGGTGAATCAGTTAAGGCAAAAAGGGAAATGATCCGCTGTAAAACGGTTGCGCGGATCGGCAATCTAAATCGACCATCTATGAATTCTCGCGTAAAAAAATTTTTAGTGAAGCGATATATCGTAAAATAATTCAGTTAGGTCGTGAAACAGTTGGACCACTTGGTACGTGCTGCGTGAGTGAGTATGAAGAGTAAATCAAATTTTGAACGTTCAGTTTAAATAAAAAGTTGCAAAGGGAACCAAATCGCTAATTACAGACAGCGGAACTCGTTAAAAGTTCTAGCTTTAAGATTGCAAATTGTCTTTTAAAAGAGGGGGTAGAAATTGTTACTGTTTAACCAGGGATTAGAAAAGAAAAGGGGTGGCCACTTTGTTAGGCGGTACGTGACTCTGTAACGGAATTTTGAGTTTATAATTGTAAATGGAAGTAGAATTTGACTTTTTCTTGAATGTTGTTTAATATATGGAATTATTTTGACGATTTTGAGTTTTCTTGAGAACTGCAAGCAAGATGATTAATAAGGAGAATCGTCTATTTTTATTTTCAAGTAAATGGAACAGGTTCACTTTCCTTAAATGGTAATTTCAACTAAAATTACTGTTTGGGCATATTGATTAGAATTTAATGCACGCAATAGGTATTTCCATTGTTAGCTCTGTATTATTATTACTCTGTTTTATTAGGTAAGTACTATAGCTTGGTGGAAAATTATAGGCTCAGTTCCAGAAACACTAAAATGATTACTAAAATCAATAATCAATTGCATAGAAAGGTCTCGCTCGAGTTTTACTTTACCTCGCGTCACTTGTAAACGTTCTTGAAGCAACTCCAATCTGTGTATAATGAAAGGCGATATTCTATTTTGTGTTCTTTTCGCAATTTTTCAGCGTTCGATTCACAGTTCGCAAATCGGAATTAGTACGTCGTCAAATTTGGTCGAGGAATGTGGAGCGAAGGTTATCGAAACGATTTTTGGACAAGAACCGGTTTACTTCATTTACTATAAAAACATGAACCATCTTTTACCGTTCCATGTAAGTAATCCCAAGATTCTTGTTAACACCATACGCATGTGGTCTCACTTACGCTCTCTCAACAATTTCGTAATTCAAGCTGCCAATTTGAGCGTATTTGAAGAAAGCATGGCATTGTTGAACTTGGTTGAATCTAATGTGCGCAATGGACGATTTGTAGTGATAACTGATCATCGGAATTTAGCGAAACCCGTCTTCAAGTGGTATTGGAAGAACAACATCGTTTACGTCGCAGTGTTGACTATCGACGTCAAAAAGTCGCTCCTATTTACGGGAGATCCAAATGACGCGTTGAATGGTTGCGGACGCAAATTAAACGTGATCCACAGTCAAAGTTGTACAGGCTCATTTACGAACACATTTCCTAAAGCTACCAGGAACTATAATGGCTGCCCTGCGACTGTCGGCATCCCCATTAAATCGCGGTACGAGTTTGATCCAAGACCGTACACCTTGAATGTTGTCCAGGCAGTATTAAACATTTCTTTCGTCCTTGTTCATCACAACACCACTTTACTAGATATGCCTGAACCCTGGCCTGAACTATTGAGTGATTTACCCCTGACGATTTTTACATTTCAAAATGGTCGTACCAGTCATGTGTACGCAAGAGACAACGTTGTGGTCGTTGTTCCTCCAGCAAATAAAATATCGTATATTGAGGTTCTGATAGTTGCTTTCAAGAAAGAAGTTTGGGTATCGATTCTTCTGACTTTTGTGTTATTCGCCATAGCTTGGTACGTTATCTGTCGATTTAAAGCGAGATTTAGTACTATCATAGTGAACACTATCAGTATCACACTCTCTGGCAGTTCCAACTACATTCCCATCAGTTCAACTGCAAGATTCGTAATCATGTGTTACATCATATACAGTGTACACATACAAACCGCGTACGTTGCGGAACTAATGCGGTTGTTGATGTCGCTACCAACGGAAAAACACATTGAGAGCTTAGACGAGCTCTTGGGGACGAATCTTCAAATTCGGATGGATGTTGAGTCTACATTAATGTTTGATATATTTCTGTTTAACATACCAAAATATCACGGGTTAGATGAACGATTTCTAGATAACGGTGACCCGCACAACTTAACAGAAAGCTGGTATGCTGATAAAAAATTTTCATTCTCTATACTTCTAAAGACCTTACAATCGATTGAATTGCAGCTGAAAGTGTCGCCTCCACCTTATTTTGTTGAGAATGAACATTTTAGGACTATCACGAATGTATTTTTGAATGTGAAATCGGCTGCCTTTATTGACAGTATGGACGAGATTATTGATAGGCTGACGGAAAGTGGATTCTACGACAAGTTGGACCAAGATAGAAAGTTCGACGCAGAGGAGAAGAAGAGCAAATTCATTTCTGAGGAAGAAGTGGTGGCTTTTTCTTTTGAGCACCTCAGCGGGGTCTTTGTGATATTCGGTTGTGGTTTATTATTATCAACTTTGACGTTTTTTGGAGAACTAATTGTGCATCGTTTTACGAAGTGATCTACTGCCCATTGCATTTTAAATTGTGGTTTGTTCACTTAAATTTTAGTGTGGAAAAATGTATTTGCGTGTAGACAGCACAAATGTTAATAAATGAAAGCTTCAAATTATTTAGTACCAATTAAACAAAAGGCACTGTTACGTTACCGAGAATTTGTCTGCCTGAAAAATAAATTAAGATTAGCAAATATTACAGGGATATAGGAACTATCCTCTTTCAACCCAACTGGTTACGCTTCTTCCAATACTTTCAGGTAAATGTATTTTACGTTATTAGAATTAAACTTGGCACCCCCTAAGATATTCAACTACCCCGACTGAATACAGAAGGAAAAGTGATGTTGAAACTTGTACGAACTGCCCAAAATTCAAAATGGGCAAAGATAATTCAGGACACTGTAGTGTACTTCACCGCAAAGTTCGACGCTAACTTCACACTACAAGAACACGGAAATAAAGTCAATCCGGCAACGTTTAAAATTGCCCACCCGCATGACTATTCCCTCCATAACTAAACAAGATCCCTCTTAAATTTGAAAAGTGCCACGCCATCAAACATCTAAGGCAGGGTCCCCTTACGTTAGTTGTAGCATAGTGAAAGATCTTTACACTAAGGTTGTAGACAACGCTTTGACCTGGAGCACAGATAGGAAAGGAACGTAAAATAAACACTCAAATTGTGAAGTTTGTTTAATAATGATCGCAATTATTATGATTGTGAAAGTTCGGAAATTAAAGTCGAAATAAATTACATTGCAAAAATAAACTTTTGAAAATGCTAGTTCACCGAATCAAAATAGAAATAGGATGGAAAAAAAGAACAAAAAATAGCAGGTAAACTTCAAGAGGTAACATATAGGTTAAAAACAAGTTTTGGGAATTATGTGTCAGGTAAGCAGGTACCAAGATTCTAAGAAAGGGTGAAATACACAGGATGTGACTCATATTTGGTGCAATAAAGTCCTTTTGTTAAAAGCAAGATGGAAAATTACATGGCCTTGTAGGCAAATTTAACTAAAAACAAGATATGTGGAAATTATTGAATCGCCACTCATTTATCGCACATAGATTCTAAACTGAAGAGCTTTGATTAGCTAATCCCGCTCCTGCAAGATAGGTAACCCGCCCCTGGTTTCGGGATTTCGAGCCTACAGTTGAATGTCGAAGACAATCACGGAATTAGGTGTCGTAGCTCAAATGGTTACAGTTTTTACCACCCCCGTGACTGCTTCATTCACGGAGAACACTTGTTAGTTACAAACAACAAGTCAGTACATACATCAAACGAATCGGTAATTTCCACATATTAAAATAAAAAGATCAAAACTTATATGAATGTTACTTCAGGGACAAGACCAAGTAATCAACATCAATAAACATAAATTAAGCAAACATTACACCAAAAACGTAAACAATTACAAACACAAGGATAACGGTATTAAATATGTCATTCTGCATTAAGGTTAAACCAAGTAAAACACGTTGACGTCTCTTATCTGGAAGACTCTTGAGTATCTAGAAGTATATAAGTAAGTTAAAGAGTTGTTCGTTCATGAATGCTTTTAATTACGTATGCAGCAATAAATATAATGACAATTAATTCTAGCTAAAATGAGTTGCAAACATTATGTCGAGATTCAGTACACTGCACTTATTATCTACAAGATCATGTCAGTCAGTCCATCAAAAGCTACAATATAACAGTATTAAGTAAATAAGTGGAGTTGGTAAATTATGAGAGTGGTTCTGTGAATTGTTGCACTTTGCACGTACTGTGTGTTAGAAGATGACGCTGCAAACGACCGTTAGTATTGGTGGCATAATTGCACTGGTTACAAATGAAATGTTTAGATGTCCTTTGATGATGTTTCCAATCATTCTGATCGTCGGTGCTATAGTAGCACTGTTTGCAGGTGTAATGTTTGAAAACGATGTTGTGTGTTACAAGATGAATCTTCAAATTACTCTTACAGTTTGTTACATATTGGCAGTGATGGCAGTTGAAAGGTTTGGAATTATTGTGTCTTGAAATATGCCGCATTAAACTAGTCTTGACGTTGGTGGTGTACTCGCAATGGTAGCAACTCAAGTTCTTCGACGAGTGAGTTAAAACATGATTTTTTAAAGACTCCTTCTTGTTCGACGAATAATTACACTGATCGCATTTAAATCTTTGGAAAATATTGTGCGTTGCCAAATGAAGTCTTAAAGTGACCTTGTTATTTGTTGCAAAGTCGCAATGGTCACATTTAATAACTTTGGAATTATTGTGCGTCATAAGATGATATCTTAAACTTGTTTTGACATTTGTGGCGTAATTACACTTGTGACACTTCAAACTTTTGACAGTATGACATGCTAAAACATGATTCTTCAATTTATATTGGGCACTTGTGGCAAAGTCGCATTGATCACAAGCAAAATTCTCGATGGTACTGTGTAGCAAAATATGACGCGCCAAGCTGGCCTTCATATTCGTGGCGTAATTGCACTGTTTGCAAACGAAATGTTTGACAGCTATCTGATGATGTTTCCAATCCTTCCGATTATCGGTGGTATAATCGCAGGGAACGCAAGTGTAATATTTGGGATGTACCGAATGATGACGCTTAAATTTGCGCTTGCCATTGGTGCGGAAGTTGCACTGATTGCAATTGAATTTTTTCGAAGCGTGATGCTGATAAAAATGACGACTTAAATTTGATTTCCCCGTCGTCGAATAATCACAATAGTCACATGTCGAAATGTTATGTGTTAGCAAATGACGCTTTAAGTAATTGTGACGGTTCGTCACGTAATCGCACTGATCACACTTAATATCCTTGAAAGTGTTGTGTGTTAAAATATGATTCTTTAGACACTCTCTAGAATTTGTGGAATAATTACATTGAGCGCAAATGTATTTTTTGACGGCGGAATGTTTTAAAACGTGACGCATTAAATTTAGTTTGGCTTTTGTGACGTAATTGCACTGGTCACATTTAAAGTCGTTGGACACACTATGCATCGCCATATGATTTTTTAAATAGCTTGTTCTATTTGTGACAAAGTTGCAATGTTCACATTTTATATCTTTGGCAGTATGTGTTAAAAGATGTTGCTTTAAATAGTGCTTTCTGTCCGTTTCATAATTACATTGACCACATTTTAAATGGATACAAGAATAGTGTCTTAAAAGCTGACTCTTATTATTGGTGGAATAAGTGCACTGATTGCAAACAAAAGGTTTCATTGTACATTTTTTCAAATGAAGTTGCATTATGTGACTTTCCAGCCATGACTTATCTGTCGTTGCATAGCTGCACTGGTAGCATTTAAACACATTCGAAATGTGTGTCTTCGGAATTTGGGTGCCATTTTGCGATAGTAAAACTACACACTCTTTAACTTTAACACAATTTGAGAAACCCAGTCTTCCTTTACATGTGCCTTCGTCAGAGCACGCTTCGCATTTAATCGAAACTGAACCACTACACACTTCCTTTTGCTCTTCTAATGGCAATTTGCACTCGCCATCCTCCTGCAATTCGTTCCTCCCTTCGAAACCATCGGCACAATATTCCTGCTTTATTTTGGTGCACTCCCCATTCACATAATCCATCGTCTCCAAAGAGGCGTAGATTTCTTCTTCATGGTTGAACTCAGTCTTAATAGTGATATCATCGTGGGTGAACATGATGGGGTCGGTAACTGATCAATAACATAAACGTCTTATTATTTCCACAAAATGGTTGTTCACTTACCTCTTTGGCACCTGGTTTCGGTCGACCTACACGTCTCGAAAAACGGTTAAACAGACAAACATAATACAGAACAACAATAAAGGTGGTAAAAAATCAACGCCGTTAGTGTGGTTAACCATTGGCTGTATCACAAATACCGATAACGGTCCCGATTGTCATAGACAACTGCCAGTGGCGTAGGCGTGTTTTTTTCATTTGCAACAATTCCGCTTACATTTGAAAAGTGGCACGTGATCAAACATCTAAGGCAGGGCCCCGTTACATTAGTTGTAGACAACGCAATGACCTGAAGCACAGTAGGGGAGGAACGTAAAATAAAACACTGAAATTGTGAAAAGTTTGTTTAATAATGATCGCAATTATTATTGACTGTAAGAGCTCGGAAATTTAAGTCGAAATAAATTACATTGCAAATATAAACTTTGAAAATGGTGGTTCACCGAATAAAAATAGAAATAGGCTGCGAAAAAAAGGGACTTACCAATAAAAAAACCAGCCGTCAAATTAATATCAAATTGTGTTGTAAAATTAATTGTTTGTGATGATGTGAATGCGTAACATAAAATTATAACATCACAAAAAGTAGCAGGTAAACTTCAAGAGGTAACATAAAGGTTAAAAACAAGTTTTGGGAATTATGGGTCGGGTAAGCAGGTACCAAGATTCTAAGAAAGGGTGAAATACACAGGATGAGACACATCATTGGTGCAACGAAGTCCTTTTGTTAAAAGCAAGATGGAAAATTACCTGGCCTTGTAGGCAAATTTAACTAAAAACAAGATATGTAGAAATCATCGAATCGCCACTCATTTATCGCACATAGATTCTAAACTGAAGAGCTTTGATTAGCGTAATCCCGCTCCTGCAAGATAGGTAACCCGCCCCTGGTGTCGGGGTCTCGAGCCTACAGTTGATTATCGTAACTCAATTTTGACTACAGTTTTTACCACCCCCGTGACATTCATTCACGGAGAAAAATGTTAGTAACAAACATCAAGTCAGTACATACATCAAACGAATCGGTAATTTCCACATATTAAAATAAAATGATCAAAAATTATATGAATGTTACTTCAGGGACAAGACCACGTAATCAACACCAATAAACATAAATTAAGCAAGCATTAGACCAAAAACGTAAACAATTACAAACAATAGTATAACGGTATCACACATGTAATTCTGCATTGCGGTTAAACCAAGTAAATTTCAAAAACAAAGATTGAAACACACACAAAATATAAAATGCGGCATACAAAACACAAATACGATATAAAGAAATGCAAAAATGACTACCTGCATTAAAAAACACACAAAATAACAACAAACATTTATGGAGCGACGCGTTCACGAACGTCATTCAAGACAAGATGCTAAACGTAACCAACGTTCGTGCTTTCTAGATCGCGCAGGCAGCTTTTCCCCACCTAGAAATTGCATGGTTGCCAATTCTGAAAAATGTACGTATCGTCGTACGTTGTATATACAGGGTGGAACCTCTCAATTGTATCTGATGCTTCTGGGATCACTCATTCTTTTGCCTTTATTTTATAGTGGGCGGAGTGTTAGCAACTTGCTACTCTTCCCACTCAACCCACTATACAATCACGAACAGCCATGCCTTACCTGGGATTCGAACCCAGGACGCTTGTAGCCAAAGTTAGATCTACTAACGTAAGCTCATCTGATCTACGCAAGTCGGCATTACACTCTGTATAAAGACTAAAAAGCAAAAACTTAGTAGTTCCGTAAACCTCTCGTACTAACGTGCGTAGTTACGGTAGGTATAGTTGAGAAAACAATGAAGAATTGTTGAGGAAAACGTGTAGAAGATGAAGTAAGGCGTGAACAACATGTGCAAAAGGTGGGGAGACCGTGATAGAGATTTGAAGCAAAGAGCGCACGGGATGAATGGGTTCAAAAAGGGTTTAAGGAGGCGAGAATAACGCGCGTGAAATATAAATAGAGGTTTGATTGGGCGTGCAGGCGATGTAAAGGCGGCTCGGAATGGGAGTGAAGCGGACGTACAGGTTACTCATGAAGGAAGAAAAGAGACAATCTCAATGACAATGTAAACAAAATGAAGCGAAAATGAAGGTGCGTGAAGACAAGAAAAAAGCTTGAAGGATGTAAGATCTATATAACACGTCTAGGAGGGTGTGAACCAGTTGAAATGAGACGGTAGGTCAGTGATAGAGTCGTTTGAGGGGGGAGAGGCGGAGATCTAAAGTAATGTGAATACAAAGAAAAATGTAAATGGGTCTTGAAGAAACCACGCCAGAAAATGGTGAAAGGGGAAACGTGGAAGATGGTCCGGAGATTGGAAAAAATTGTTACGCAGTTTAGAAAACAAGTAACAAGGTTTTCGCCCTAAGGCGGATAGGTACAACGCATGAGAGGTTCCACCCTGTATATACAACTTACGACGATACATACATTTTTGAGAGTTGGCAACCATGCAATTTCTAGGTGGGGAAAAGCTGCCTGCGCCATCTAGAAAGAACGAACGATGGTTACGTTTGGCAACTTGTCTTGAATGGCGGTCGTGAACTCGTCGCTCCATAAATGTTTGTTGTTATTTAATGCAGGTAGTAATTTTTGCATTTCTTCTCGTATTTGTGTTTTATATGCCACATTTTATTTTTTTTGCGTGTGTTTGAATCTTTGTTTTTGAAATTTACTTGGTTTAACCGCAATGCATAATCACATATGTGATACCGTTATGCTATTGTTTGTAATTGTTTACGTTTTTAGTGTTGTAATGTTCCTAGGGGGGGGGGGGGCTATCAAGCCGACACGGAAAACGTTGACTTACCCTATACTTACGGTTGGCAACTCTGGCAAAAACTACAAGCAGAGCCACCTACCTTTCAAGTCGAAACGATGGTAGTCTCGCGGCACTTTTGAATTTGGATGACAGTCGGCTCGATATGGGTGGCACGAATGGACTCCTACGTTGTGTAGTCGGTTCTTTTATGTGTTGGGACGTGAGACATAATCGGGAAGGGAATTAAATAAAAGACAGAACTTTTGTGCGTAAGAAATGACAAGATCAAATAAATATATTAACGCACACACAAGACCATGCCAGGGAAACCTTCTACGGGACTAAAACCCTGGCACAGGCCACACAAATACATGAAATAAATCACCTACAGCAATAAAATGCAAGAGAAAATACACATAAATAAAACATCTCAAATGGTATTATAAAATCAGATAATCAAATCAAATGCAATTAAACAAGTTCATAAAATCAAAATACACAAGACATCATAAATACAGTGGAAAACATGATAAATCAATTCAGTACAAAAACACATCAAAATACCTGTACGATCAATAGAGATAATACAACTCATCAAATAAACAAATTCCATGTACATAGGAAACATGTAAATGGTGTGGCTCTACTCCATCCTTCAGTTAACATAATTTAATTTAACACGAAAAGTACATGTGAGAATGCCATTGGTCAATAGCAAGTATTCATGTGAAAATCGATTATCGCTCAAACAGAACATATTTTAAATAGAGGAAATGTTACTGAGAGGGCCCCCATCTCATATTGCGAGACACAGAAATGCAGCCTGCATGAGCCGAGCAGGTAACAGATACAGCGAAAGATCTAACTGCATTAGGTACCTACTCCACGGAGACAGAATAACCCACTCGCACACGCAAACATCGAAACATCAAATAAAAGAGCCCCCCTTTCGTATAGCTAACGCACAGAAATGCAGCGCGCCACGAATCAGCAAGTAACAGATACAGCGAACCATCAAACTGTATTAGGTACTTCCCTCACGGAATAGTTACGGGTCAATCGAACAGAGCAACATCACACCGATAATCAACTCCTCATGAATAACAGAAATAAATTACTTAATTAAACAAAATAATGGCATAATCATCTGTACAGTATTACAAACAGGATTCATCTAACGGTACACGAAACAAAAGCATGGAGTACGCCATGATTCAGATATCGTAGTTTTTGCAAAATCAGCAAAATGTAAATAATATCAAATTGAGGCAAGAAATTCAATGATTAAATATCTAGTACAAGAAAGAATAAAATGGTTACTACCTGTAAATACACCTTCAAAACACCATCACCAAAAATTATCAAGAATAATAAAAAAACCCGGGAAAGCGTGTGTCTTCCGTCGGCCTCGTCGCCATCTTCTTTTTTCATTCTCCTAGCTTCGTTACGAAAATCCCCTAGTATTCTGCATCTGCGCAAAACGGTCGTTGGTTATATACAGACCATATTATATTTTTGTTTCAGTTGTAAACGTGTGTTGCCTAACCATCAGGGTGGATTATCACAGTGTAATGCTTGCTTAATTTGGAAATTACCGATTCGTTTGATGTATGTACTGACTTGTTGTTTGCAACTAACCATTTTCTCCGTGAATGAAGCAATTTTTTTTTGGGTTGGATCCATCGTTCCTCGAAATGGGGGTTGAAATATATTGTGTGAGGTTTAGAGAGTTTTGATCACACAATATGTGAATGAAGCAGTCACGGGGGCGGTAAAAACTGTAGTCAAAATTGAGTTATGACACCTATAATTCCGTGATTGTCTTCGACATTCAACTGTAGGCTCGAAACCCCGAAACCAGGGGCGGATTACGTATCTTGCAGGAGCAGGATTACGCTAATCAAAGCTCTTCAGCTTAGAATTTATGTACGGTAAATGAGTTACGATTCGTAATTTCCACTTATCTTGTTTTTAGTCAAATTTGTCTACAAGGCCATGTAATTTTCCATCTTGCTTTTAACAAAAGGACTTTATTGCACCAAAGATGAGTCGTATCCTGTGTATTTCACCCTTTCTTAGAATCTTGGCCTGCTTACTTTACCCATAATTCCCAAAACTTGTTTTTAACCTAAATGTTACCTCTTGAAGTCTACCTGCTACTTTTTGTGTTGTTATAATTTTATGTTACGCATTCACATCATTACAATTAATTTTACTACACAATTTAATATTAATTTGACGGCTGGTTTTTTTTATTGGTAAGTTCTTTTTTTCCCAGCCTATTGCTATTTTGATTTGGTTCAAAGTTTATTTTTGCAATGTAGGTAATTTATTTTGGACTTAAATTTCCGAGCTTTTACAATCATAATAATTACAATCATTACTAAACAACCTTTTCACAATTTCAATGTTTTATTTTACGTTCCTTCCCTACTGTGCTTCAGGTCATAGCGTTGTTTACAAATAACGTAAGGCGGTCCTGCCTTAGATGTTTGATCACGTGCCACTTTTCAAATTTAAGCGGGATCTTGTTTAGTTTTGGAGGGAATAGTCATTCGGGTGACCATTTTTAAACGTTGCCGGGTTGACTTTATTTCCGTGTTCTTGTAGTGTGAAGTTAGCGTAGAACCTGGGGGGGATAAGTACACTACACTCCTTTCAAAACTATAAACGTAGCAGTGTTTTATTCTAGTTTTTTGCGACAGCTCGTAGGATTTTCCTGTACCAGATCCGTCCATACCGTGTCTGGGAATTCAACTTACGAGTTTAAACCCCGAGAAAATTAGCGTTCGCATTGGACGATCCAACAACCGGGAATTACTCTGGGGTAGATTTTATACTGCGCCAAGAAATTAACGTGAAACTGATTTCGACCACCTGCAATTTTTCTCAGAGGTTTTTATTTATTGGCAAGACACCTCTAATAACCGCGCGAGGGGCTGCGTATTAGTTGAAAGAAATATGGTACGCAACGGAGAGAACTTGAACGTTTCGATCAAAGTTTTGCGACCTTTAAATTCAAAGTAGGTATAACTTAATTAGAAACCATTGCGATAAATACGAATCATAGCGGAAGTTGTGACCACGCGAAACTAGAAGAACGGACGGTCGCGACTAATTTGGCGCAGATATTTTTTACGTTACATTGTACGCTTATCGTCGGATTAATTAACTTTTTGAGCGATCGAGTTTCAGCTGCAAATCAAAGCAGCCATTCATTTTACGAGACCTAGGATTCTGTAGAGCGACTGTATCCTTGTTAATCAATTGGATCAGTGTCGAGAATCAATACTTCGAGCATGGACACGTATTCAATAATCAAAATAAATTAATTATCGTACAAATTTAGTACTAGATTTTGGTAGTAAGTTGTCGACCGCGACATTAATAAGTAATAACTAAATTAGTAAACTTATAATTAACTTAAAAACAACTCGAATAAAAAAATTAACATTAGAAAAGTAGATATTTACTTTACAAAATTCCCGAAACAAAACAATGCATTTCCGTATTGTGTATGTAACAAAAAAGAAGCAAGATACATAAAACATCAAAGTAAACATGGTTGCAATATTGATGGCAAGCTGGAATTGTTGACTTCACAGCATTGGCTTATCGAATTAAATATACGGCAGGTAAGTGACAATAGGGAATTGAAATAGAATTTCTATAATCATGGAGGCAGTACAAAGGACCCAAAATGGAGGCCTATGTGCGCGAGCGGAAGTTAACAAAAACAAAAAGATTCAATTAGTTTTTATTTATCCAAAAAAAAAATGGTCACAATTCAGACCTATGTTTTAAAATGTGGTGCCTTAAACTCCACTTTCTATTTGTCGCATAATTGCACCGGTCACATTTTAAGGCTTTGAAAGTGCCGTGCGTTAAAATATGTGCCTTTAAACAACCCTTGTCGTTTGTGGCATAGTGACACTGATAACAAACGAAATCTCGGGCACCGCTGTGCATCACAAGGTGTCGCTTCAAATGTGACCTTTTGTTCGTGGCATAATTGCACTGTTCGCACTTAAAGTTTTTGGAAGTTTGGTGCGTTAAGAGATGTTCTCTTAAATGTGACTTGTGATTGGTTGCGTAATAACATTGGTCACAATTGAAGTCTTTCAAAAGCTTGTGTGTTAAAAGATGTTGCTGCAAGTGTAACTTAATATTGGTCACATAATTACACTGATCACATTGTAGCTCTTTGGGTAGGTTGTGTCTTAAAGAATGCTGTTTTAAATGTGACTTGTCAATTGTTGCAAAATTACACTGATCACATTTGAAGTCTTTCGAAAGGTGGTGTCTTCTCAACAGATGCAGCTTTAAATGTGACTTATTGTTTGTCGCATAATTACACTGATCGCACTTGATATCTTTTAAAAGTTTGTGGGTTAAAAGATGATGCCTTACAATGTGTTGCTTTAAATTATCCTTCCTATTTGTCGTGTAATTACACTGATAACACTTGAGGTCCTTCGACAGCTTATGCGCTAAAAGATGTCGTCTGAACTTTGAGGTACCGTTTGCTGAATAGTCACACTGACCACATTTCAAAAGCGCGATCTCTGAATTCTTCTCGGATGGTTGGTCCTTCAATTCGGTCCCGGTGTCCGAATGAACGGCACTTGTATCTTCCCTCTTTATTGAGGCGGATGTCTCGTTAACAAAATCCATTTCTTGAAGGCTGGCATTGATTTCCTCTTCACGGTTCGGTTCAATCTTAACCAATGAAGACAGTTCGTGAATGGACATGGTTTAGGAGCTAACGGGGAGATTTTAGAACAATTCCACTCATGCGGGCTCAACTAAAAAGTTCGTTAAAAACTGATGGAGGGGAAGTTAGCAACTTAAAGAACAAGTTCATCGGTGTTTACTGCACCGCTAGAGCTTGATTTTAAAGGTTGTTCTTAGGGTGCGTTCTGATCACTTTATTCTCTAAAGCGTTCGTTTATTGGTGCACCAGACCCAAGGTTAGTACACCAGACCACCGTATTTATTTCTCGTTTTTTTTTATTACAAAAATAGTATTTTACATTATTAGCCAGGTAAGTGAATTTTTACTGGGGATAGAAGTTGAGCACTTTTTCGTGTTTTGATGTTCTTTAGGTACATGCAATTTATCATTTTACGAGTTGGTTTGTTTAAATTGAATCGTAGATGTGTTTTATACTAAAATGATTTATCTTTGTAATTATGCTGTTATTTGTATTTCGTTTTGGAGGTAGGTTATACACTTGCTTTTTTTGAGCCCGGAAAAAGAATTGTCTGAGATCGACCGGGAAAAAACATTTTCTTATAGAATTTGGCTCGTAGAATCCATAATTTCTAACAGTTCCCAGATCGGGCTACTAGATCAAAAGTTACAGCCCTTTGAATTTTCTTTCGAAATTGGTTTCTAGTCCATAATTTTTGATTGAGACGTCTAATCGAAAAAGTACGAATCGTTTTGGATTCTACGCACCAAAATTAATAAGAAAAAGTTTTTCCCCGAGAAATTTTGTAGTCGATTTTTGGTAAAAAAGGAAGGTTATACACTGCCTTTTTTTGAGCCCGGAAAAAAAATTGTCTCAGATCGACCGGGGAAAAACATTTTCTTATAGAATGTGGCCTGCAGAATCCATAATTTCAAACAGTTCCAAGATCGGACTACTAGATCAAAAGTTACAGCCCTTTGAATTTTTTGTCGAAATTGGTTTTTTGCCCATAACTTTTGATTGAGACGTCTAATCGAAAAAGTACGAATTGTTTTGGATTCTACGCACCAAAATTAATAAGAAAGTTTTTTCCCAAGAAATTTTGGTGTAGTCGATTTTTGGTAAAAAAGGAAGGTTATACACTGCCTTTTTTTGAGCCCGGAAAAAAAATTGTTTCAGATCGGCCGGGAAAAAACATTTTCTTATAGAATGTGGCCTGCAGAATCCATAATTTCAAACAGTTCCAAGATCGGACTACTAGATCAAAAGTTACAGCCCTTTGAATTTTTTGCCGAAATTGGTGTTTTGTCCATAACTTTTGATTGAGACGTCTAATCGAAAAAGTACGAATTGTTTTGGATTCTATGCACCAAAATTAACAAGAAAAAGTGTTTTCCCGAGAAATTTTGGAGTAGTCGATTTTTGGTAAAAAAGGAAGGTTATAAACGCTTGCTTTTTTTGAGGCCGGAAAAAAAATTGTCTGAGATCTACCGGGGAAAAACATTTTCTTATAGAATTTGGCCCGTAGAATCCATAATTTCGAACAGTTTGAAGATTGGGCTACTAGATCAAAAGATACAGCCCTATGAATTTTTTTTCGAGAGGGAGGGGGGAGATCACTACAGATTGGTCGGAAACTATATGCCTATAAAACGACCCGAAAGTGCCCAAGATGATCAAAAAAAAATCTGGAAAGTCTTCGCATGTTTTGCAGAAGTTCCAGAACGCGTTTGGAAGACTTTTTCCAGTTATTAAAAACCCGCTGCAGAGCTAGATGAGACCTAGTTGAATTATTCATTTTGGGAAATCTAAAAATTTAATGGGAAGCATCCCAAGGCCGTGTAAAGTGGAAGGCCTAAAACTTGCGAAGAAACTCTGCCAGATTCCTTTCCGGAAGATGCGAAAATCTGCAGATATCCGACCTACTGTGGGTCAAGGTAGCCGGCAACCACGCCGTCGTTGATTAGTCACCTCTTACGACATGCAGTCTTGCTGCAGTAGGGTTATTCTAAATCCCGCCCCTACACGGGTAAAAAATGCTTCAAATATTTCAAGATCTTTAGCCCATAAGATCTTCATTGTTCTGCATTTCCTCGAGATTCTATGGATAGGCGAGAACAGTGATGGTCGAAGAAGACTAGAGAGCGTACAAGAGATGGAGGAGCGCTGAAGGGTTGGGAAGGCTGAAGAGGGGCAGGTAAGGCTAGGAGAAGGCAAGGTATGAGTCTGGAAAAGGCAGGATAGAACAGGACGAAATTAAAAGACGGAAGATGGCACAAGTCAGTAAAAATTTAAAAAATTCTTCTCAAACTTCATTTTTACAACTAAGTCAACGTAATTAGGGATCTTTTCAATTTTTCTCTCTGTCGCCTTTTCTTTTCCCCCGTTTTTCGTTTGGTGGTGGCGTCTTTAAATAGCTGAATACTCTCGCGGTCCTCTATTTCCTTTTGCATCAATTGTAAGCCGTACAAATTGTAACCGACCATATCCTGCAAGACACAAGTTATTACCAGACAAGAACATTAACAAACGTAACCCTACTCGTAACTCCTCCACCTTTACCATTGCCAACTTGTTCAGCTGTCGTAAATTGGACAGGAGGGCGTGATTCGCTACGATCGGCGCGTGGTGTATCTTCAAGAGGAACATCGCTATTTTGCATACGAGCTCGTTTTGGTAGTTGTTTAGTAGTAGGGAGGGAAGCATTTCCAGTATTTTACACACTGATGAAAAGGGCAGCAGGAGGAGGGATTCTTCCAAGTCGCTGGAAAAACAATTAAAGTCGCACTAAATGACGGCTAACCCTCACCTGGCGCGTATTCGTTTAAGAACCTCGAAAAGGAACTCGTGATTCGCCGTCACTCCGTAAGCCTGCATGAGAGGATGCGGCTGCGGTAACGGGAGAGTCTGAGACGAGTTCACCTGCAGCGCGGCGTGTTCGTCCAACTGCTCCTGGTACTTATCAATTATTTCGAGACACTCCAAGATGCTCTCGGCGCCCTTTTCGCTACCGATCGTCTTCTTCGACGGTAAATTGAGCCCCGGTTGTCCAGGAACAGTCGTCTGCTCCCCAGTCGCCAAACCCTCCCGTTCGGCCCTCTCCTCCTCCTCTTCGTCCTGCAAAACCAGGGGCTGATCGGACTTTTCGTACAGGCGCAAAACGCGATCGGCACCCGAAGACACGACATGCTTCCCACCCGGGCTGACGGCCAAACTCCACGCCTCTCCGACGTGCCCCTAAAACTGCGCCGTGAGTACGCCAATCGTCACCAGCCTCAACTCACCTGCAGCGTGATTATTTTGTTGTACGTGTCCGCATCCCACTCCTTCACCTTGCCGTCCTTGCCGCACGTGAACAAGTAGTGGGTCCGCGGCACGAACTGAAGTCCGGTAATCGAGTCGTCGTGTGCGAAAATGCTCTTGTGACAATCGCCGAAATCCATGCCCCATATTTTCAGATTGCGATCGGCCGAACCGGTCGCGATCAAGGTCGAATCGGACGAGATGTCCATGCAGAGCACGGGCAGCTTGTGACCGTACAGCGACAGGTAAAACTTGAAGGAATCGGCGAAGAAGATCTTGACCGTCGAATCCAAGAGGGCGACGGCGACGAACTTTCCGTTCGGCGACAGTCGCACGCAGAGCACCGCGTCTTCCAACTTCAACGTGCGCTTGTGCAAAAGTGAGAGCACCTTGGCCTTGCTCTCCGTTTTGATATCGGCGATTAACTCGAACTGCCAGAATTTTACCGTCTGATCTCCGCCTCCCGTAACGCATCCACGCTACAAAAAAAAATGCAATAGGTTATTTCCACATTAGATAGTTCTGGAAAACTGGGAGTGAAATGTGAAAAAGAATCCGGAAACCACATGGGTACTTCTACAATTATTGATTGTAGAGACATCTGTTGAACATCATTGAACTAAATAAGTAGATGTATAATCAAAAGTTTTGTGGATCCCATGGAGATCCTTGAGGAACTCCCCCACTCATTCTTACCATGTCGGGTTGCAAACAGATAGACCACAACTCGCCACTATGCGCGGGTATCTCCTCCAAGACGTCTCCGGCCGCGATATCCATGATAACCAATCGTCCATCTTTGAGACCGGCCAAAACGTGTCGATCCCCCGGAACGAACATCGTGCACAACACGTACCTGAAAGAAGTTCTAAACAGACGAATCGCCCGAGCACCGTCTTACCCGACTTCCACGGTCCGCACGCACGCCAAAGTCTGTCGGTTCCACATTTTAATGGACTCCCCGCTCCCGGAAACGATCGCCAAATTATCGCTGCTAAAGCTGAGCGAACGCACTTCGCTCTGATGTCCCAAGTTCTCGATCGAACGCAGACACTGCGCCTGCGCGTCCTTGACGTGCACCTTCAGCGTATGCAGCGACATCGTGTTGTTCGCGAACGTGACGAGAACGCGCAGCTCGCCGCCGGTGCCGATCGCGAAATGGTGATGTTTCGGCTTGTGCGGCAGCTTCAACGAGGTTAGCCGTCGGATCTCGTCGCGCGAGCTCAACTCACCCTCGCCCTCTCCTTCCGCCTTCTTTCTCTCCTTTCGTAATCGCTTTTTAAAGCGAGCTTTCGCCTCGTCGTCCGTGCAGAAGTAAAATAGTTCGATCTGCGCGTCCGTACCTTGACAGCCGAGAATTTGCGTCGACACGTCCGTCACCATCGAGGTGACGCGACCTCGGCCCGCCCGCAGTAACGAGCACGCCTTGTGACACTGAAGCGGATGCTGCAAAGACTCAAGTCAGCGAACCCAACCTAGCGTCGCCCAGCTTACCGAGCAGTCATCGTTTTCGTCGAGGGTCGCCAGCTCCAGCTGCGCGGATATGTTTTCGATCTTCGGCTTCTCATCGCCGTTAACATCGCGAACTGACAGCTTCCACACGCGCAGCTCGGCGTCTCCCGAACCGGTGACGAGATACTTATCGTCCTTGACTAACGTCAACGCCCAAACCTGCGGTTTGCAAGTGACGCGAGAGTTGACTTAGCCACCGAACTTACCTCCGTGTGGTGTCCCACTAACGTTTTAAAACAGTACTGAGTGTCCAGGTCCCAGAACTTTACGAAACTGTCCTTCGCGCCGGAAATGAGGACCGGCTGCTGTGACATGAAGGTAACTTGGGTAATCGGTCCTCGGTGGCCCGATAATCGGCACAATCCCGCTTCGGAGACAGTATCCCAAACAATGACGTCAGTATCCTATAATGCACACCTTCAACATTTCCGAATAGATTACCAATTATTCCACATTACAAAAACATGCCCTAGACCTTTCCCAATATTTTCAAATACAGTCGACATTTAAAAATCATCGGACATTCGCAAAGACTTTGACAATTTCTTACACATTTCAAACATTTTGAAACTGAAATGAAATATTCAAGGAAACTTTGACAAATCGTCAATGTGAAGGTTGCCGAATGTGCAAGGTAATGCTAAGCCGCCGGGAAGTATGAAGTGCGCTGTGTGTGTGAGGTGAGGCGGCGCAGCTGCCGAAACCGAGCGTACGACCTGTCCAAGAAAACATTGACTTACGTAGGAGGTTTGCGGAGTGCGTGAGGTGAGGCGGCGCAGCCGCACCTAGCTACTGTCCCATTCAAGGAAACATTCAGAGATAGACGGTATGAAGCTTGTATGTCCCATTGAAGAATATGAGATTAAATCGTTCAGTACAATTTTTATAATCGAATTCTTTAAGTCTAAGGAATTTTTTTTTGACTCAAATTTTAGGGTCACTTTTATTAACATTCTAACCATAAATGACAAACAATCAAAAATAACACAATGTGGCTAATAATCCACAGTGAAAATTGGACGAATTAATTTGAACACGTTTGAACACTAAGCATTGTTTGACATTTCACATGAAACGATTGTTTCCAAAGCCTACCACACCTAATGACAAAAAAAAAAGAAAATTTCTTTAAAAAAATTCAGAATGTTAAAACCTGACCCCAAAATTCCAATCTACATTCATTTCTGCTAGAAACCTTTATTTTATTTCTCGATTTTGTATCAGGAGAATACAATGTGCGAGGAGGAGGAGTATCAGGTGGCAAACTCAGTACAAGTTTTTTGACTGTCAAGAGAACATGATAAACGAGAAGGTCTTTTTTCATCAACTGCCTTTTTCCAATGTTGTATTAGGAAAGTATAATGTGCGTGGAAGTTTCCCCGCTCCTAATCCACGAAGTATTAGTTGGCAAACCCTCCCAAAATTTTGTTTACCTACCAGGAGAACATGATGGACGAGGTTTTTCAAACATTAAAAGAAAAATTTTAACGCTTTGCTCCGGTTTAAATTTCCCTTAATCTTGCGAGGAGGTGTTCCTCCTCCTAGTACACGGAGTATCGGTTAGCGAAATCTTTGAAAATTTTTCTGACTAGCAGGAGAACATGATAGACGAAGAGGTCTTTTTTTATCAACAAAAAAGTGTTTTTTTATTCCAATCTTATAATGTAAGGTAGCAGTAAAATTTTTCTGGCTAGCAGGAGCACATGATGGACGGAAACGAGGACGGGGAGATCCTTTTCCATCAAAGAGTGACGTGTTCCAACGCTCTACTTTGGATTAAATTCTTTCTTCTTTCTGGTATCAAGAGAATATAATGTGCGAGGAAATGTTTCCGCACATGATACACGAAGTAACAGTTGGGAAACAATTTTTCTGCCTACCAAGAAAACATTTCTGTGATATTGATAGTTTGTCCACTGTACCTCTTAATATAATCAAAGTAGCGTATTTTTTGTACAGCTTTTTAGATCGGCAAAGAATTATTTAGTTGTAAACCAACATCACCTAAAGTGTTTTGTTCTACTGAATTTCTTATTTCAGAAATTTTTGTATCAAGTTCACAGAAGTTCACAATTGGCCAATACGGATAACATTGCGCGAATTCGAACACTGAAAGTACAACCCTTATATGAAAATTTAAAAATCATTAATTTAACTCAGTTAGAAGATTCCGGTACGTAATATTGAATTTAAATGAAAAACTTATTACCTTCTTTTACCCGAGTTCATACACGACTGTTCGGCAAAATCATTAAAGTAAAACGCCCCCCCCCCCCCTGAAAAACAGAACAGAACAGAAAAATTCGCTTTACCTCACTCAAACAGTTTCTAAAACTACCCCTTGGGTCGTCCAACCTTGGAAAACTGAATCATCCTCCATTTAGGATTTGTGGAGTGGAACCAAAAACTGTCGACGTTAAATTCTGCCTCGTAGCCGGGAGGTTTTACTGTTTGCAAAATCCCAAAGAATGCTCGATGTTGCATAAACCAAATGACCGAATTAAATTGAATAACATATTTCTTTTGTTTAATTTTACAAGGCCTACCTAAAAGTGTTGGGTGCTTTTCTTTCTCGCCATCGACAAATACCGGAACGCGATTTTGAAAAATGGTTTTCACTGGCCTCTTTGGATGTTATTTGGCTACTTTTTCATAAAGAAAAAGTCATATCATTCCATTGGGTTTTTTAGGATTTTGGGTCATAGTGTCAAAACTAGCCCCCTGGCGAAGAAGGATTCAACTAAATTAACTATATTTTGGTTGATTCTTGTTGCCCAAGGAATGCTCTGTTCAACGATACCAAATTTGTTAAAATTGGTCAAACGGTTAAGAAGTTAAAGCAGGTTATTGCAAAAACAATTGAACGCCCCACGCCATCTTTGTTTTTGAAATAACTGAGTTTTTGTTTTTACGAAAATGATAGATAAACTGGTTCTCTTTAAAAATGTGAAAAAAGAATGTTTAGTTTATTACGCGAAATTTAAAGAAAATGCAATTTTAAAATTTAAGATGGCAGTTACACCTTCTGGTGGTCATTTTTAGAACTTGAAAATATAAATCATACGACGAACGGTTCCCGAGATATGGCCGAGGAACAGTCTTATTGGGTCACCCGGTACTAATGACTCAAAACGTAGGGGTCTACGCAATTCGATTCTCGCGCATTTACAGGACCGTTGGCACATGCCTTGAATTCATCTGACACGACGAATGACAGGCGCTCGATCTCGACGGCTGCGCCGCCTCGCCTCGAACTATTTTTTAATGTTGGGGGAAGCGCGTAGGGGTCTTTTTGTCTGCGCATGCATAGTCTATTTTTTTACGTGTGTTTAATTTATTTTTTATGAAACAGCTTCCAGTAAAATGTCCGTCCATAAATAAAAGTTTGGTCTGCGCATGCGCGATACATTCACATGTTTATGACAAATAATAATCCAAAATGGCTTCCAACTGAGCCCAACTTCGATTCCTCTATTACAGCATTTAACAGTTTTCTCAATCAAATTGGATAAGATCAAGATTTTGGACATCTCCATTCCAAAATGATCGCAAAGACTGAGCACGTTTCAGTTTTCTGTAATGATTGTATATACAGGGTGGTGCATCTAAAATAATCCACACTTAATCACTGTGAAACAATGTGATATTGTAATGCAGTGGGGGGAAAAAGAGATGAGAAACAAATGATCTACTTTGGATTTGTTTTTTTGGGGGACTGTACACCCCTCTTTAGAGAAACAAATAAAACTCATTGTCAAATTGGTGGTCATATACCTAGTAAAAAATGCATTAATGGTCACACACTAATTAAAGGTGGATCATTTTAGATGCATCCTGTATAATGATAAACTGCTTAAGTATCTGAAGTGCTCATCAATTCTGTCAGTGACTGTATACAATTATTGACAATGACTGGCCTCACCTTTGATCCCGATGCTAGCTTATGCCCATAGGTGTCGTAGGCCAACGTAGTAATTTCAGAACGATGCCCCGAGAACACGCACACCACCTCGGCCGTCTCCAAATCGTACACCTGCACGATACCGTCCGCATAGCCGACCGCCAAATTGCGTTTGTTGGGGCTCGCGCAGAGGAACGTGGCGGGGCTCTTCTCGCCCAGCAGCACCTGCGCCTAAAAGCGGTCGGTTTGACAAATCGAACGCAAAGCCAAAGTGTTACCTTCTCGCCGAGACGTAGATCGAAGACGATTACGTGCTCGCACGCCCCGACGGCGACGTATCGTCCTTCCTGTCCGTTTAACGCGACGAAGACAGCGTTGCAATTCGTGCTCGTCACTATGTTGAAGTTTCCGGCGGGCACGTAACGCAAATATTCTTTGGTCAGGCCCATTATTTATGGAAGTTGCATTACAAGTTCTTGAACATTCAAATTGTAAACACGTTGTTTACGTTTCGCACATGTCATAACCTAAAATAAGATTCTTTGGAAGTGGTTCTTGTAACTACAAATATACAGCAGAGAGACCATAGGCGTAGTTGATACAAATTACCAACCAGTGCAGCACATGAAAGTCGAGGATGCTGAAAAATTCTCAGAGGAAATTTAGGATGCCCAAAAAACTGAAGAAAGCGACGCAGACCGTAGTGAAGGTAGCAGCCGAATTAATGTGTGGCAACAGTGTGTAGTCACAGCAAACAGGTCACTCCCCTGAATTTGGAACACGTGTTTTCGTATAATAATTCGCTCCTGTACCTTTAGGGCCATTTTTAAACACCTTCCTAAAATAGACTTTCCATTTTTTTTTATTTTCTAACAGGGCATTACAAATTGTGTATCAATGGTTTAATGCCGTTTTGAGAGGAATCTCCAATACGTGTTTTCGTATAATAAATCGCTCCGGTACCTTTAGGGCCGTTTTGATAGGAATTTGTAGGTACTGTATATATAGGAATGTAGTGAACCTAGCAGTCGATTTAATTGAATTTCTACACTTTAGGGATGTAGTGAAGCTAGCAGCCAAAAAGTAAAATTTCTATTCAAAATAGGGCGTGGTTTTCAGGGGAGTGGCCTGTTTACTGTTACACACTGTTGCCACATATTCATTCGGCTGCTACTTTCTGACTGCTACCTTCACTAAATAATAATAATAATAATAATAACAACAAATGATACAACATATTCTACAATCAGAGATTCACCTCTGAAGCAAACCACATTATCACCACCCATTAGTATTCAACCCAAACGCAAAAGCCTAAACAGCACTTTAGACTCACAACATGACACACAACATACTGTAATATCTCCACCCTTAACTCAACCAACCACACAAACACAACTTCCTGAACAAACAAACGCAATAAATACAAGTAACGCAACACGCACTACAAAGACGCCCTCACCCACACGGCCTAGCACAGCTAAAAAACACAATACTCTTTCTTCTCAGAAACACACCACGTTATCACAAACACAACCCACTCGTACTCAACCCAAACGCAACAACCTTAACAGCACTACAGGCTCACAAAATACTGTAATGTCTCCACCAATAACCCATGCAACAACAGAAATACAACTTCAAGAACAAAGAAACACCATAAATACAAGTAACGCAACATGCACTACAAAGACAGGTCCATCCAATAAAGTTACACGCCCTAGCACATTTAAAAAACACAAAACTCCTTCTTCACAGAAACACACCACATTTTCACAACCCACTCGTATTCAACCGCAACGCAAAAACCTTAACAGAACTACAGGCTCACAACATACTAAAATATCTCCACCAAAAACCCAAGCAACTTCACAAATACAACCTCAAGAACAAAGAAACATCATAAATAAAAGTAACGCAACATGCACTACAAAGACAGGTCCACCCAATAAAGTTACACGTCCTAGCACAATTAAAAAACACATAACTCCTTCTTCATGAGTGATGTTTCGCAAAAACTTAACTATAAAACGGTCCATCAACCAAGAACACCAAACACAAAAACAAGTTAACAAAAATGTGAAAATGAAACTCAAATAATAAATGTAACAGCAACACAAAAAACTGCAATAACTCCACCACATTGGAGCAACCTCAAGTAAAAGACCGCGTTTGTGAAACACCAGGCTTACAAAGATTTTTGATAAAAGCTGGCAACACCACGTTGTTTTGCCACTCGTATTCTTCCAAATGCAAATACTTATGAGCAATAAACTCCAAGTCCTTTGAAATTACGTAAATTGATAAGATGGTGTACAGTCTGTACGTCGTACGGAAAGTAATTTTATTATAAAGATACTGTGGTTTATGAGTTAAAACGATTTGATGACACATATACAAAAAGTGAAGGGAACGGCGATTTTCCATATTCAACCACTTTATTTCAGACATCTTATGGGAGACATGATCAAATTTTCTCAAGCCGAAAATGAACCGTAGACAAGAATTTTGCACTCGTTGTAGTCTTTTCCTGCTGGTTCCATCCAAGCAAGGTCCATACACACAATCTGCATAATTAAAATGAGATAGAACTAGCACATTCATTAATTTTACTTTGGTATCAAAGTTAAAGTTGTATCTGTGGATACACAAAGATTTTAGACTGCTGAAAGCGCGCTGAATGCATAGATTTATATGACTTTTAAAACGAAGATCGCTATCCATGATTAGTCCTAAGTTCTTGTGTTCCGTTTTTATTGGAATGACGTGATTGCCAACATTTAGATAAATCTGCTGCTGAACATTGTTTCGGTGGTGAGCCTTTCCGAACCCCAGCGCTACAGATTTTGACGGATTAATAATCAGGGAGTATTTTGTGGATGTCTCAAATAAGTTATTTAAATCTCTGGTAAGTTTATTTAAAGCAAGATCTACGTCAGAAGGTGGAAATGAGAGATATAATTGTGTGTCATCTGCATATAGGTGATGTTTGCATGTATTTATGCAATTTGGTAAGTTAGCAGTGTACATAGTGTAAAATAAAGGGCCGAGTATGGAGCCCTGTGGAACCCCCGAATAAATTTTCCTTTCTGACGACAGTGAGTCTTGAATTTTTACTCTTTGAGTTCTATCTGTTAAAAAGCTAGTTACTAATTCCAACGCGTCTTTACTAAAACCAAAAAAATGTAAGATTGAAATTAGCAATTCGTGATCCAACATGTCAAATGCCTTAGAATAATCTACCAGGACATTAACAGTGAGCATGTTGTTATCGGTTGCTGTAATGATATCGTCCACAATGCATGATAACGCTGTAGAACAACTATATCCAGTCCTAAAGCCCGACTGCATAGGCGGTAAAATGTCGTTTTCATCCAAAAATTTCCTGATTTGTATTTCCATTGCTCTTTCTAGCAATTTGGATAACACTGGTAGAATGCTTATAGGTCTGAGATCTTGTAATGTGCGAACATTTTTACTTTTAGGTAAAGGAATCACGTGTGCTACTTTCCAAGCATTAGGAAAATAGTTTGTCTCAAGGCAGCAATTAACCACATGCAGTAGATAAGGCGACAGAAAGGGCAGACAAACAGTAATCATTGAATTACTCACCCCGTCAGCGCCTACAGAGTTTGTCGTAATTTTTGAGAGTATCATAGCAATATCCGATTCACTAATGAGAGTGAAGCTAAAAGGATTTAAGTCCTTGAGTTTACAATTTGTATTATAAAAATTTAACAATTCTGGATCAGGTGAAATTTTATGAGCGGTAATAGAGTCACAAAAATGGTCATTAATAAGATCAGGGTCATTAAAGTCAGAAAGCAAATAATTTGTTTTGTTTGGGAAAATGTTCATGTCTCTCAGTACCTTCCATAAATCGTTTTTATTTTGCCCGGTCGCAAACGTGTGGAAATAGTGACGCTTAGATTGTCTAACAGCATTAGTGCATAAGTTACGAAGTCGCTTGTATTCATTCCAAGAGCTAGTATTTTTGTCATTTTTGAACTTCGACAGACTTTTATCTTTTGAATGCATAAGGGCTTGTATATAGTCTGTCAGCCAAGGTGTTTTTGGTCTAGTAAGTCGGACTTTCTTAATAGCATATTTATTAAATAGATATAAAAGGTTATCGCTTAAAAAACGTACTTTACATTCCACATTTCTTAAATTGAACAAACGATACCAAGGCAAGACCTGTAATTCTGCAACGAATTCATCATATTTAAAATGTTTAAAGTCGCGATATACTTTATATGTGCTTTGCTTCGTGAGATGGTTACATGATAACGTACACCAAACGAGTGAATGATCTGAAACCGCATCCATAGGCAAAACACCGCACTCCTTTAAAAGATCCGGATTAGAGAGGATAATAAAGTCAATAAGAGTGCCCTTTTTTTCTGTCACCATAGTAGGCTCTGTGATTACCTGCATACAACCATAGGTATTTAGCAAATCTAAAAACTTTAGAGATTGAGCGCTCTCATCCAATAAATTTATGTTAAAATCACCAACACATATTAGATGCTCACAGGCAGGAACCATCAAAGAAAAGGTATCCTCCAACGTGTCGCAAAATTCTGGAAAATACAAACGGTTAGCTCTGTATATAACTCCAACTGCAACTCGACTATTACGAATTTTTAGCATTAACCACAGTTGCCCAAAGTAAATATTACTTTCTGTCTCAATTATTGTAAAATTTAGGGTATTTCTCACATAAATACCTGGCCTAAATCCAAGACTAAGGAATTCAAAGAAAAAGAAACCGAAGAAGGGGAGGAAGAATAGGAAAGCAAGGAAGTCTCCAAAATGTAATTGGCCGAAGGGTCAGTATAGAAAATGCACCAGCAGTATATGAATTGCACCGTCATTATGTCAATTGCTATACATACCCCCATACCCCTCATTTCTTCACTGTTTTCAGCTTATAGTTGTTGAAGACCTAGGACTGTATTGAAGATGTCTCCAACCATTAAAACCGAAGTGAAACAAGAAGACGAAATCGAAGTAACCCTCCAAGAAGATGTTTTCATAAACAACGAGATCCTGGCATCGGTCAAGGAGGAGCCAACTGTGATCAGTGATGATGGTTCCGACTTCGATTCGGAACACAACCACGCACGCAGAGATCAAGAGGGTCAGTTTAATTGCTTTCGTTGCTCTTATTCGACCGACAGTAAACACAACATGAGACGACATTGCTTGTTAAAGCACTCCGCCGCCAGTATGAAATGCGACCGGTGCGATTTCACGACGAAATACAAACAAAGTTTAAAGCGACACCTGCAAACGCACGCGGTACCGAAAAGTTTCAATTGTGAAAGGTGCGATTACACCACGTGCAGCGAGGCGGTTTTGAAACGTCACCTCTGGAGGCACACGGTTCGAGAGTTTAATTGCGGCAAGTGTAATTTTGGTACGAACGACAAGTCGGATTTGGACAAGCACCTGTTGAGGCACGCGATTTCGAAACGCTTCGAATGCGACCAGTGCGATTTTTCATCGAGCTACAAGCACCACCTGAAACGGCACGCCGTAAAACACGACGATTCCAAGCAATTCAAATGCGGTGCATGTCATTACATCACAAATAACATGTTGCATTTGAAAAAACACGTTCTAAACCATACGGCATTTAAAGAGTTTAAATGTGACCGGTGCGATTACGCGACAAACAAAAAGATACTCTTACAGCAACACCTCGTGGTACACAGAACGACTAAAGATTTTCAATGTGACCAGTGCGATCACGCGACCAACAATAAAAGCCAGTTCAGACGGCATCTTTCGATGCACAGGAACGATCTCGATTTTAAATGTGACAAGTGCGATTATGCAGCCAACGATCGCTCTTACCTAGCGAAACATCTTCTAACGCACAAAGCTTTGAAAGACTTCAAGTGCGAGAGGTGTGATTATTCTACTCACTGCAAGCAATTGTTACAACAACATTGCGTGATGCACAAACAGATTAAGGACTTCATTTGTGCCGAATGCGGACACGCTACTCACAATAAGAATCATCTTAAAACGCACGTCTTGATACATCGAGCCGGTGGGACTTTCCAGTGCGACAAGTGTCATTACGCGACAAACAACAAAAAGTACCTTCGACAGCATATGTTAAAACATACTTTGGCCAAAAACTTTAATTGTGACCAGTGCGATTACGGCACAAGTATTCACTCGCATTTTAAACGACATATTCTAATACACAAAGTTTCTAAAGATTTCACGTGTGACCTGTGCGATTTCGGAACAAACGACAAGTCGCACTTCAACAGGCATCTTTTGAAACACAAAACTTCCAAGGAGTTTAAATGTGACAAGTGCGATTACGCCTCAAACGATCACTTGCGTTTCAAACAGCATGTGCTGGTACACGCTGCGATCAAAAACTTCAAATGTGACCAGTGCAATTTTGGTACTAATGACAGATCTCATTTCAGACAACATTCCTTAACCCACAAGCTCATTAAGGATTTCAAATGTGACCTGTGTAGCTACGCGACGAGTAACAAGGCGGTTTTCAATCGACATCTCCTAGTCCACAAATCGGTAAAAGATTTTAAATGTGCACAGTGCGACTACGCAACGTGCATCCGAGCATCTTTGGACCGGCACATCCTAATCCACAAGACCCCCGCCGATTTCAAATGTGACAAGTGCGATTACGCGTCAAACGACAAGTACCATTTTAAACGACACTTGCAAACTCACAACGTGTCGAAGACCAAGGATTTTAAATGCGACCGGTGCGATTACACAACCGTTCACAAGTACAATTTAAAGCATCACACTTTGATTCACGGAGCTCCAAAACATCTCAAGTGTACCCACTGCGATTACGCCACCAATCGACCGTCGAACATCAAACAGCACCTACTCACGCACAAGGTGGGCAGCGAATTTAAATGTGACGCTTGCGATTACGCGACGAACAACAAGCACATCTTCAAGCGACACTTACTTACGCATAAGGTGACCAAGGACTTTAAATGTGACGAGTGCGAGTACGGTACGAACAATAAGGCGCTTTTAAGACTGCACCTTTTCAAGCACAAACCCGCCGATCTCAAGTGCGACGCTTGCGATTACGCGACGAGCAATGAGAGATACTACAACATTCATCTGTTAACGCATCGAGCTCTCAAAGATTTCAAATGTGACTATTGCGATTTCGGTACGAATTCGAAGGCGCACTTAAAAGGTCATCTTGTGAAGCACAGATAATGTGACATTGAATGATTTTAATTATAAATAATTTTAAGGTAATAAATGGCGAGTCGTCAAAAACAAAAATATTACTTTCGAATTACAGAGGTCGTGACGGCCTTTTGAGCTCAGAAGGGCGCTTTTCTGCCTTATCTGTAACAGATAACAAACGAGAGGGGTAGTGAATAGCGCGCCACTGCGCCTCAAATATTGCTATAGCAATGTCTGGCACTCAAAGAATCAATAATTCAATTTAGGTTAACAAAACCAAAAGCAAATCGACAACGAATCGTCCAAAGTCAAATTCACAAGACCAATCTCTCCAAAAGGTTTCTTTAATACTTGCAGTTAGACAGGGCCAAAATTCAAGTGTAGTAGGTTACCAGATAATGTATGTCTCACATAAGATGGCGGTGGAATTTTCCAATGGAACTTCCTTGTGCAATTCTGGAAAAAACCGACAAGGGATATCGATGTAGATGGCAATAATCAGGACATAAATGAAGAACAGAATAATCCAGCAATAGATCATTATTCAAAGTCAAACGTAATACGCAAATGGTACATTCCGTAAACGGCCTTAGAACTTGTAAATACAACCGCAAAGCGAATTCTATGAAGCATGGAAAAATCACAAGAAACAATCTTCAGAGAAGTATACTATGGCCACGTAAATCCCTGAACAGGTAGACTAAAAAAATGAGTAAAAATACTATGGCGCGTATCTTCTTCTTTACAAGTAACGATCGAATCTGGTCTGTTCAGGGAATAATTGTAATACGCACACAAAGAAGAAAAGAAAATCACGGAAACATCTGCATGAGCTCTAGCGGCGTAAATAAAGAACTATTGTAAATGAAACCTATAATACTCAACTAACGACATCTAAACTAAACGAGTTTACAGAGGAAATAATACATAGATGGCGTAATAATATCGGTTAAATGGAATTTTAAATTGTTAAGAATGTTGGAATTTCAAATAAATGCTTTTGGCACACTTTCAGATCCTTTTTAAGTTTACAACATAAGTCGGAAAATTCGTAATGAAGTCGAAATTTCCAAGAAATGGAAAGTGGGAATTTCTAAAATTATGCCCTCTCGTCCTTGCAACATAAAGTCGGAAGGAAATTTCAAATTCAAGTTAGAATTTTGGAGGGTACATAGCGTCATGCAGACGTTCTTTAGGTCTAAACACCAAAATTAATGACGGGACACCATACATATGAGAATTTCAATTTGTTAAGTGTAAATTTGTGGGATTTTTATGAATAAACACAAATAAGTTGGTTTATTGTATTTGAATTTGTTATCCCAGTGTCTATTTTCTCCTTTTAGAAATTGCGTAATATTTTCTTGTTTAAATTTAGTCGCTTTTGTAAATTGTTTATTTAGATTTGTGGATTTAATGGTAAAACGTGAAATTGCGTGTTAAAATGTGTCGTTTGCGATAAGGACTTTTCATCAAACCAAATTTAATTAACGTACGTGTTCTTCTCGCTGTTAGACGATGCAGGTGCGCGTTATTTCGGCGCAAGTGAGCACCCGCATTTCGGAATTAAAGCCGGAATTTCCTAATTTAAGTCGCTAATTTCGAATTTAAATTGGAATTACTGAGTGTACATACAGGAAATTTTGTGTTCAGGTCGCCAATTTAAAAAAAAATGGTTTGGCTCGTCTACGCACTCGTATCTAGTAATTAAAGCCGGAATTTCCTAATTTAAGTCGGTAATTTCGAATTTAATTTGGAATTACTGAGTGTACGTACAGAAATTAATGTGTTCAGGTCGCCAAATTAAAAAAATGGTTAAGTGGCTCTTCTACGGACTTGTATTTAGGAATTAAAGCCGGAATTTCCTAATTTAAGTCGGTAATTTCGAATTTAATTTGAAATTACTAAGTGTACGTACAGGAATTAATGTGTTCAGGTCGCCAATTTAAAAAAAAATGGTTAAGTGGCTCTTCTACGGACTCGTATTTAGGAATTAAAGCCGGAATTTCCTAATTTAAGTCGGTAATTTCGAATTTAATTTGAAATTACTGAGTGTACGCACAGGAAATTTTGTGTTCAGGTCCCCAATTAAAAAATTGGCTAAGTGACCCTTCTATGCTCCTCTTAAAGAACATCTTGGTACCGTATAGACACTTTTAGATCCAGTTTGGAGAAGGAGGTTTCTATACTCGTAATGTTTGTTTTCGTTCTAACTTTCGGTGTGGTTTTACCTGCCTAATTGATTCGAGAGGAAATGAAATAAATGTTATTGCGGGTAGTTAATCGCCCGATCTTATTCTTGCCCTTGGTTTCGAAGACCGCAGTGAAGGTGATAAGATTGGAGGTAAATTTAAGTAGCTTGTTTTTCGATGTCCGGCTTCGATTTGGGCTCGCGAAGCTGAATCGTGAAGAACACCTGCACTAAGAATGGCGACGTCTTTCGAAGTGACTCTTCTGAAACGACCGTAAATGGAGATGGTATCACTGACCAGGTGGATGGAGCAAGTTGCTGAAATGAGAATTGCAAGATGACCTCTAGACGAAGAAGGTAACCACCAGCTTCTCATATTTTAAAAAATGTATGCTCTAGAACTGATGCCGGAAACTCTCCACCATGACTGCGTTAGGAGTCATCAATACCAACTTTTTGAAAATTAGGACTGCTCGTAAGATTTGGCCAAAACGTCTCAAGTTGGGATTCTCTCACGGAAGCGTTTGGAAAACAACATTAAAATCAATTGCGGTCTTATCAAATAAGGAAACGTGAACCTGTAGGTAGGTACGCGATAGTTAAAGTAATTGCCTGAGTAATGATTTGTAATTAAAGTTTGCGAGGATTTTGCGGTCTCTGTATACTTGATAAATGTGAATCGGTCACCGAATAAATAATAGGGAATACCCTCTTTGTCGCTTAGTTGTTTTTCGACCATTCCCGAAGAACCACATCGTCGCCATTTTCACCGATTCTAAAAAGGTAGGAGTTGATAGTATGCTTTTGGGGGGCGCTTTTTTGTGAATTTTTGGAATTGCCCACGACAGTTTTTGGGTGCTTAAGTCGTTTTTTATACGCTTTAAAGGCTTTTGTAGGAAGTGTGCTAACATCCTTTGTGGTTTGACGGTTTTGTGCGCTATCTATTCTCTCCCTTTTATCGTCACAGTCTCTGGAAATCAATGTCAGAACTAGCGAGGCTTATGAAGTAAAAATTTCCTTTTATTGTTGTTATTTTAGTCAAAGTAAACCCGAAATGTTATATACAGGGTGTCTCATGACGAAAACCGGCTATCAATATCGACCCTAAGCTTATTTTTTTTAATAGAACACCCTGTATATTTTAATTAAAAAAGATAGCATATACCGACGATATTAAAAAAAGATTCAAAAGATCAATCTCGATTAAACAACATGAAATTTTTTTGAATTTTTTAATGTTATATTTTTGAAAAGAGAATTTAATATGATATGTTTTCAGATTAAAATATACAGACTGTTCCATTTAAAAATGAGGATAGGTCCGCTAACTTTTTTACCTGACCCCGTATGCTTTTTTTTGATAACGGAAGAACATTATAAAGAAACTTTTGTAATATACGTTTTTCTGTATCTCTTTTAACTAAAAAAATATAGGGTCATTCTGAAATTGACAATTTTTATGGTTTTTCCTCGTATCTATTAAGTGAGCGAATATTTTCTAATTTTGATGTTACCATTTTAAGCTTTACCCAAAAAGAGCACATTATATATATGGGACACCCTTTACAGTGTCTTATACCTAAATTAGCTATTTTTGAACCCGCAGAAATCGATTGGCGAAGGTTTGACTTCCTTGTTTCTTTTAATTGTCGGGTTAGACGAGAAACATACGGACAAACAGACAGACGGACAAAACACACAAGGGAAATTTTTTTCTTTCGAAAAAATCCTCTAGACATGGCAATTATGGTTGGTCTGCAATCTTCATTTTTCAAATATGTCAAAAACGGATAAATTAAAAAAATACAGGGTGTTCATAGGGTCAACAAACTCCCATTTTCTGATTTTTTGGGAAAGATGCGTTTGATTCTGACAAAAACATATGATTTCTATAGTTTTTACGAAAATTAGTAATTATACGGATGTCACTTATACAGGGTGTTCATATGGTCAATAAGTTCCCGTTTTTTTCCATTTTTAAGGGATTTTGAGGAAAAGTGCGGAAAAAAACATAGGAAACCGCGTTTAATTTTAACAAAAAAATAGACGATTGTAACTACCGTTTTTGACAAAATTAATAACTACACGGATTTCTACAGGGTGTGCATAAAGTAAAAACCAATTTTTCGATTTTCCGGAAAATCCATTAGAAAGCGCCTTTGATTTGGACCAAAAATTAGTGATTTTAGCTAGGGTTTTTGAAAATGTAGTAATTACGCGGATGTCATTTCTACAGGGTGTTCATAAAGTAATAATAAACACCCATTTTTCAATTTTTGAAAGTTTTTGAGTCGTTTTCCGCACAATCCAAAAGTAAGTAAGCGCGACGCTTGATTTTGACAAAAACGGATGATATTAGTTAGCGTTTTTGGGAAAATTAGTAATTTCATTAGTGTCGCTCGTACAGGATGTTCAATAACTGTTCATAGTGTCAAAATCGTCCAATTTCCCATTATTTTCCGGAAAAGCTCAAGTCGCGTTTGATTTTGACAAAAACATATGATATTAAGTATTTCTAAGATATTAGTAATTGTACTTACAGAGTGTTCATAAAATCAATGAACTCCTTTTTTCCGATTTTCAATGATTTTGTGGCATTTTCCGTAGTGTCCAAAAGAAATCGCATTTTAATTTTCACGAAAACGTAGGGTATTAATTAGCATTTTGGAATAATTGCGCTAATCTCACTTCTACAGAGTGTACATGAAGTCAATGAACCGATTTTAATCGTTTTTGGGTCATTTTCCGGACAATCCAAAGCAAGTCGCGTTTGATTTTGACCGAAAAGGAATGATATTGATTGGCATCCTCCAGGAAATTAGTAATCGTATTGGTGTCGCTTCTACAGGGTATTCATAAAGTGAACAAACCCCCATTTTCCGATTTTAATAGTTTTTGGGACATTTACCCGACAATCCAAAAGAAGTCGCGTTTGATTTTGACGAAATATTGATTGGCATCTTTCAGGAAATTAATAATCACAGTGTCACTACTACAGGGTGTTCACAAAGTCAACAAACTCCCACTTTCCTATTTTAATAGCGTTTTTCCGTACAATACAAAGAAAGTCGAGTTTGGTTTGAACAAAAAAAATTGATTGGCATCTTTGAGGAAATTAGTAATCGCATTGGTCTGTTTTTTACAGGGTGTTCATAAAGTCAATAAACGCCCATTTTCCGGTTTTTATCAGTTTATGGAAGATTTTCGAGAAAATGCATACGAAGTCTCGTTGGACTTTGATGAAATATATGATTTTCTTAGCGAAAATTAGTAATTACACGGATGTCACTTCTACAGGGTGTGCATGGGGTCAATAAGTTCCTATTTTGTTCATTTTTAAGGACTTTTGGATTAATTTCCGGAAAAAACCAAAGGTAGTCGGCATTAATTTTGACAAAAATAGATCACTTTAGATAGCGTTTTTAAAAAATAGTAACTACACAGATGTCACTTCTACAGGGCGTTCATAAACACCCATTTTCCGATTTTTGAGAGATTTTGAGGCGTTTTCTGCACAATCAAAAAGAATAAGTCGCTTGATTTTGAGAAAAACGGATGATATTAGTTAGCATTTCGGGGGAAAATGATAATTTCATTGTACAGGATGTTCAATAACTGCTCATAGAGTCAATAAACGCCAATTTTCCCATTTAAGAACATTTTTGGGACATTTTCCGGAAAATCCTAAGGAAGTCGCGTTTGTTTTGACAAAAACATATGATATTAAGTAGCATCTTCGAAGATATTTGTAATTGTACTGATGTATTTTCTACAGCGTGTCCACAAAGAAGTTAGTTGACTTTTCCCAAATGCAGTGCACTAACCACGTATAATTATTTGACGAAATTTGTTCAGTTCGTTCTTTAATCACCAGATGGCGCTCCTCGACACCGGCATGGTAAACCTCTACCCGTTGGAGAACGCCGTACCGCACAAAACGGACAAATACGAGCTGGTCCACCAGGACGATCCGACGCCGGTCCTGCGGCGCGGCTTTAAGTTCTCGATGGTTCTCCGCTTCCGCAATCGAGGTTACGATCGAAGCCGCGACGTCATTCGTCTAGTTTTCAACTTCGGTACGTTCCCTCAATCCCAGTTAGTCGCTGAATCGTCCACTTCCTTTAGGTCCGCGAGCTCACTCGATCAAGGGGACGAAGGCGATCATTCGCGTGGAGCCGCGAACGAGAGAGCCGGCGCAGGACAGGAAGGAGTGGTACGCCGGAATCAAATCCGAAGGTCCCGACAGCGTGACGATCGAGGTGATGGCCGCGGTCCACTGTCCCGTCGGCAACTGGAAGCTGCAGGTCGAGACCGGCGCGTTCTCGACGACCGACCGTCGCGTCTTCAATTACGACAAAGACGTCTACATCCTCTACAACCCTTGGTGTTGCGGTAAGTCGTCCCCTACAACTCCCGCGCTTAACCGCCGCCGTACCCGTAGAGGATTTGGTCTTCATGCCCGAAGAGCGATTTTTGGACGAGTACATTTTGGCGGACGTCGGAAAGATATGGGTGGGCCCGTACGGGTCAAGTCGTGGACGCGAGTGGGTCTTCGGCCAGTTTGACAAGAGCGTACTTCCGGCCGCCATGCTTATGTTTTCCAAGTCTGGCTTCTCCGACACGAGCCGCGGCGATCCCATCAAATCCACGCGATTAATCTCGAAGATGGTGAACAGTAACGATGACGATGGCATTTTGGTGGGGAGGTGGGACGGCGATTACGGCGACGGTACAGCGCCGGCGAGCTGGACGGGCTCCGTTCCCATTCTGGAGGAGTACCTGCAGAACGAGGAGTCCGTGTGCTACGGACAGTGCTGGGTGTTTTCCGGGGTGACCACCACGAGTAAATCGGGCGTTGGCGGCCGACGCGTTAACTTCTCTATTAGTTTGCAGAGCGCTTGGGATTCCGTCCAGAGTCGTCTCCAATTTGGTGTCGGCTCACGACACGAACGCGAGCCTCTCCATCGACAAGTACTACGACACGAACGACGAGGAATTGGACTTCGATCCGACGAACCCCACCGGCGAGGACTCCATCTGGAATTACCACGTGTGGAATGACGTCTACATGGCGAGACCCGATTTGCCAACGGGTTAGGTTTCGTAAACTCCAAAAAACGCCATTGAACTCTTCTTGTGTAGGGTACGGAGGCTGGCAGGCCATAGACGCGACGCCCCAGGAGACGTCAGATGGCGTCTACCAGTGCGGTCCGACTTCTCTCGAGGCGATCAAGCAGGGGAAGGTGGGGTTCAACTACGACGTCGCCTTCATGGTCGCGTCAGTGAACGCAGATTTGATGCGCTGGAAGGAGGACCCCAACGCCCCGATGGGTTACGCAAGAATCTACTGCAACAAATACCAGTAAGTTCCCCCGTTACAAGCGACGACTGAATTGCTCGACTTCCAGTATCGGACGAATGATTCTGACCAAGAAGCCGTTTTTGTTCGACCCCAACGGCGACAAGGATCGCGAGGACATCACCTTGGAGTACAAGGCGAAGGAGGGTACCGAATTCGAGCGCGTCTCCCTGATGAACGCGGTCCGAGGACTGAAATCCGCGCAAAGGTGAGTCTGGCGAATGAAAATTGATCTGCTCACCTTTCCCGATTGCAGCTTCTTCAGCGTGCCGGAGAACATCAAGGCGGATGTCGACTTCGACCTGGTCGATTTGGATAAAATAAAAATCGGGGAGGACTACGAGATTGTGGTCAACATCAACAACAAAAGCGACGAAGTTCGGCACATTCGAGCGGTTTTATCCTCGTCCAGTGTCTTTTACACTGGGGTTAAGGCAAAGCTGATCAAAAAGGCGGAGGGAAGCTTTAGCGTGCCACCAAGATCGAGTAAGTCTCAACGGCCAATCAAATTTGCATTTCACTCTGTTTCTCAGCCGAAACCATGCGACTGGAAATACGAGCGGACGATTACCTGAACAAGCTGGTGGAGTACTGCATCATGAAAATCTACGCCATAGCTACAGTGGACGAGACCAAAGAAACGTGGGCCGACGAGGACGACTTCCAGGTGGTCAAGCCTACAATTCAAATTCAGGTACTTACCACGCCCTCTGCCAGTAACCGTTACGTTCGCCTTTCCCCAGATGCCATCGAAAACGATCCCGATTAAGAAGCCGGTCCTCGTGAAGCTGTCCTTCGTCAATCCGCTAAAGAAGCGGCTGACCAATTGCAAATTCCAACTGGCCGGGCCGTCGCTGGTGAGGAACCAGGGGATCGGCCACAGAGACGTCGGACCCGGCGGTCTCGTCGAGGTCGAGACGCAGATGGTACCGCAAGTGGCCGGCGAGCAGACGATCGTCGCCACCTTCGCGGCGAGAGAACTAATGGACATCACCGGTAGCGTAAAGGTCGACGTGTACGATGACGAAGATTAAGCTTGTTTGTGTTAACGCCGTACTTTATTTATTGCTTTTCAAATGTGTATTTAAAATCTCACTTTTAATAAATACAATAGGCATGCTGCAGGTATTTGTTTTAGTGGGAAGGTACGTATAACCCAGGGCCGTGGTACCTTCCTTATTTCTTCCAGGGGTTGGTACCGGAACCGAAAAGTACCGGTACCGGAAGTCTTTGCATTTATAATAAGCGCTTCATTTGGAACCGATACCGGTACCCTTATTATTAGTGCCAAAGAACCGGTATTTTTCGGTTCTCTCTCTCTCTTGTAGGTAGAATAGACACGTTAAAATCAAAAACAGTAAGAGGGTTGAAGAGTGTACGAGGAAAGAAATAGATAATGTACAAACCGAAGAAAAACGGAACCGGAACCAAAACCGAAAATTACTGAAGCGACAGATCCGGAACCGAAACCTATATTTCATATGGGTTCCAACCCCTGATTTCTTTACGACTTGTTTACTCCTACTCCTTCACTCGTCCTCCCTTGAGTCGTCATTCTCACATCTCTCACACCCACTCCGCCTCGTTTCCGTTCACGTATGTACCTGGTGACCCAATAAGACTGTTCCTCGGCCATATTTCGAGAACCGTCCGTCGTATGAAAATTATTGGGTAAATCGGCCATGAAGAATCGCTGGAAAATATTTTCAAGTTCTAAAAATGACCAACAGAGGGCGTAACTGCCATCTTAAATTTTAAAATTGCATTTTCTTTCAATTTCGCATAATAACATAACATTATTTTTTCGTATTTTTAAAGAGAACCAGTTTATCTATCATTTTCGTAAAAACAAAACTCAGTTATTTCAAAAACAAAGATGGTGTGGGGCGTTCAATTGTTTTTGCAATAACCTCCTTTAACTTCTTAACCGTTTGGCCGATTTTAACAAATTTGGTATAGTTGAAAAGAGCATCCTTTGGGCAATGGGAATCAACCAAAATATAGTCAATTTAGTTGAATCCTTCTCCGCTAGGGGGTTAGTTTTGACACTATAACCCAAAATCCTAAAAAAATCAAAAAAATTAAAATTGAATGATATGACTTTTTCTTTATGAAAAAGTGGCCAAATAACATCCAAAGAGGCCAGTGAAAATCGTTTTTCAAAATCTCGTTCCTAACTTCAAATATTGGGAAAATGCCCGCCAATTTAAAAAAAATGGTTAAGTGGCTCTTCTACGGACTCGTATTTAGTAATTAAAGTCGTAATTTCCTACTTTAAGTCAATAATTTCGAATTTAATTTAAGTATACGTAGAGGAAATTTGGTGTTCAGGTCGCCAATTTAAAAAAATGGTTAAGTGGCTGTTCTACGCACTCGTATTTAGTAATTAAAGAAGGAATTTCCTACTTTAAGTCAATAATTTCTAATTTAATTTGAAATTACTGAGTGTACGTAAAGGAATTAATGTGTTCAGGTTGCCAATTTAAAAAAAATGGTTAAGTGGCTCTTCTACGAACTCGTATTTAGTAATTAAAGCCGTAATTTCCTACTTTAAGTCAATAATTTCTAATTTAATTTGAAATTACTGAGTGTACGTACAGGAATTAATGTGTTCAGGTCGCCAATTAAAAAAAAATTGTTAAGTGGCTCTTCTACGTAATCGTATTTAGTAATTAAAGCCGTAATTTCCTACTTTAAGTCAATAATTTCGAATTTAATTTAAAATTACTGAGTATACGTAGAGGAAATTTGGTGTTCAGGTCGCCAATTTAAAAAAAGGGTTAAGTGGCTGTTCTACGCACTCGTATTTAGTAATTAAAGCCGTAATTTCCTACTTTAAGTCAATAATTTCGAATTTAATTTGAAATTCCTGAGTGTACGACTGTACGTACAGGAATTAATGTGTTCAGGTCGCCAATTAAAAAAAATTGTTAAGTGGCTCTTCTACGCACTCGTATTTAGTAATTAAAGCCGTAATTTCCTACTTTAAGTCAATAATTTCTAATTTAATTTGAAATTACTGAGTGTACGTACAGGAATTAATGTGTTCAGGTCGCCAATTAAAAAAAAATTGTTAAGTGGCTCTTCTACGTAAACGTATTTAGTAATTAAAGCCGTAATTTCCTACTTTAAGTCAATAATTTCTAATTTAGTTTGGAATTACTGAGTATACGTACGGGAAATTTAATGTGTTAAGGTCGCCAATTAAAAAAATGGTTAAGTAGCTCTTCTACGCACTCGTATTTAGGAATTAAAGCCGGAATTTCCTATTTTAAGTCAGTAATTTCTAATTTAATTTGGAATTACTGACTCACCTCTGGTACTTTGGAGCATTGGAGAGAAAAAAAGTTGTAAGTAATACCTATATTTTTAGACATTGTGACCGGGTGACCCAATAAGACTGTTCCTCGGCCATATCTCGAGAACCGTTCGTCATATGACTTTGGGGTAAAACAAAATTATTGGGTAAATCGGTCATGAAGAATCGCTGAAAAATATTTTCAAGTTCTTAAAATGACCACCAGAGGGCGTAACTGCCATCTTAAATTTTAAAATTGCATTTTCTTTAAATTTCGTATAATAAACTAAACATTCTTTTTTCACATTTTTGAAGAGAACCAATTTATCTATCATTTTCGTAAAAACAAAAACTCAGTTATTTCAAAAACAAAGATGGTGTGGGGCGTTCAATTGATTTTGCAATAACCGTTTTTAACAAATTTGGTATGGTCGAAAAGAGCATTCCTTGACGAGAATCAACAAAAATATAGTTAATTTAGTTGAATCCTTCTCCGCCAGGGGGCTAGTTTTGACACTATGACCCAAAATACTAAAAAAATCAAAAAAATCAAATGGAATGATATGAATAACATCCAAAGAGGCCAGTGAAAACCGTTTTTCAAAATCTCGTTCCTAACCTCAAATATTGGGAAAATGAGATTAATTAATTAATTAATACTCATGATTAAATTGTATCTTATTTGACGTATTTCCGGTATTTGTCGATGGCGCGAAAGAAAAGCACCCTACACTTTTAGGTAGGTCTTGGAAAATTAAACAAATGAAACACGATGCCTTATAAAATAATAACAGCCGTAATTTGTAAATTGTTCTGCTGTGTTTACATTCAGAAAGTGCAGTTTTTTGAATTTGTAATCTTTTCTAAAATGCCGATTTCTAACCGAGAAGCATTTAATATGCTGGCGATATATTTTAAGTATTTTCAAAATGCGATCATCGCTGCCCACATCTTCTATTTGCGTTATCCGAATCGACCACGAACCATCGCCGCCAGCATATAAATACTTCTTGGTTAGAAATCGGCATTTTAGAAAAGATTGCAAATTCAAAAAACTGCACTTTTTGAATGTAAACACAGCAGAATAATTTACAAATTACGGCTGTTAATATTTTATAATGTATCGTGTTTCATTTGTTTAATTTTCCAAGGCCTACATCAAGTGTAGGGTCCTTTTCCAAACAATCTTTCGCGTCATCGACAAATACCGGAAATACGTCAAATAAGATACAATTCAAGCATTTTTATTTATTAATTAATTAAGCTAATTTTCCGAATATTTGAGGTTGGGAACGAGATTTTGAAAAACGGTTTTCACTGGCCTCTTTGGGTGTTATTTGACTACTTTTTCATAAAGAAAAAGTCGTATCATTCCATTTGATTTTTTTAGGATTTTAGATCATAGTGTCAAAACTAGCCCCCTGGCGGAGAAGGATTCAACTAAATTAACTATATTTTTGTTGATTCTCGTCAAGGAATGCTCTTTTCGACCATACCAAATTTGTTAAAAACGGTTAAGAAGTTAAAGCAGTTATTATGTTATCAAAAATCTCTAAACCTTCCCCATATAGTTTTATTCGTTGAAGTTTTTTAAAAATAACAGCGACTATAGTTTCGGCGTACTGCCATCATCAGGCGATGTGAAAGTTAACAGGAAAACGGTAAATTACAAACGTTGAAGACGGATAAGACGAACATGTTGTTTTTTTTAATTATAAACTGGCCGAAGCCAAGTGAAGAACCTGAAGGGTGGTTAAAACGGAAAGGTTGTCCTAAGTTTCAAGACGAATTAATTATCAAGCCTTGTTAAGACAACCAACCGGGGGGTTGAATTTTTACATTAAAGTTTAATGTAAAAATTCAACCCCCCGGTTGGTTGTCTTAACAAGGCTTGATAATTAATTCGTCTTGAAACTTAGGACAACCTTTCCGTTTTAACCACCCTTCAGGTTTTTCACTTGGCTTCGGCCAGTTAATAATTAAAAAAAACAACATGTTCGTCTTATCCGTCTTCAACGTTTGTAATTTACCGTTTTCCTGTTAACTTTCACATCGCCTGATGATGGCAGTACGCCGAAACTATAGTCGCTGTTATTTTTAAAAACTTCAACGAATACTATATGGGGAAGGTTTAGAGATTTTTGATAACATAATATATTTCAACCCCCATTTCGAGGAACGATGGATCCAACTCAAAAAAAAAAAAGTTAAAGCAGGTTATTGCAAAAACAATTGAACGCCCCACACCATCTTTGTTTTTGAAATAACTGAGTTTTTGTTTTTACGAAAATGATAGATAAATTGGTTCTCTTCAAAAATGTGAAAAAAGAATGTTTAGTTTATTATGCGAAATTTAAAGAAAATGCAATTTTAAAATTTAAGATGGCAGTTACGCCCTCTGGTGGCCATTTTAAGAACTTGAAAATATTTTCCAGCGATTCTAATAACCGATAATTTTTTTACCCCTAAGTCATACGACGAACGGTTCCCGAGATATGGCCGAGGAACAGAGTCTTATTGGGTCACCCTGTAACAACAACATAAATTCAATTATGTAGGTACCCCAGATAGGTGAATTGCGTTAAAAAGATAATAGACATACATTTTTGCAAATCAAAGTTCAATTAGACACAAAACGAAGGGGTAATAATTAGATGCATGATTGAATTTTCCTTAGAAGCCAGCCTTTCTACTTCATGGAGGTTTTAACATTCACTTGGTAAGTAAAACGTTCTCACCAAGTCACGCTTAACAACAATGACAGAACTGTTATCTAAAGAGCCCTTGAGATAATCAAAAAAAGAATGGGCGAGCACTTGAAATCACTTTTCGTTCGTCCACGGTCATGGCTGCACTTACAAGCCTTCTGGTGTTGCTTCTTCTCGCCAAACTTTCGAGTAAGTTCCGATCCGCTTATGTTACGGCGTGAACCGCTTCTCCGCAGGCCCCTTGCAGTACATTCCGGCGAACAAAATCATCGAAGTCGTGCAGGAAGGAGAGTACACGTTTGGGGTTCAAGAAGAACTGGAGGATCCATTGATCGAAACGTGCTACTATGAGGCCGACACCGGCCAGAAGGGCGTTTTCGACATACAGCCTCCGTCCAGACGCTCGCTGGATCAGAGAGCGGAGATATTCAACATAATCACCACGCTCGGTATTAAGGGACTGTGCCAGATACAGGTGATGAAAGTCGACGATAAGGGGCCGAACAAGTGGATGCTTACCCCGGCGTACTTTGACGAGGAACAGAACGAAATTAAGATGGATACCATTGAGTTTTCGGTTCGCTTTTATTGTAAGTGGAATTTTTAAGGGCGGAAAGTCCATTCTCGTTGTAGATAAAACCGGCATTCTGAGATCGGTTGTGACCATTTTGGATGGAAGCGGCTTCTTCAACCATTTGATTACGCCCGAAGGCGTGGAGCTAGAGAGTTGCGAGCTGAAGGTAAACGACATGGTGATACCCTTGGATCTGCAAGGTGCGGATACCGTGAAGGGTGCAGATATCACGAAGAACATTCAGGCGTTGGGGCACGGCCTGTGCGGATTTAAATACACTAACGGCCTCTATGATGAGGTGAACAAGCTGATGTGGACCTTAACCGCGAAGAGCAAGAAGGGGAGGTACTATCGTAACGAGTTTAAAACAAGGGTCAACAGTAAGTTTGCGCTTTGAGTTTTGAGGGTGCTCAACAATTGATTGCAGTCGACAGCGGTTTGCACCACCAAACTAGGTACGTGGTTTTGGGAACCGCCGTGACCATCCGCTGCGGCGTCCCAATAACTCAACCGTTTTGCGCGCTCTACAACCCGCAAAATCAAATGATAATAACCGAAGATTGCAAGTACAGCATCAGCTCGTTTGCGTTCCACCACCTTGGAACGTGGAAGTGTTACAGCGGCAGCGATGACGCTCTCGAAACTGCGGAGTATACGGTCACGTACCAAGCGAGGGACGACCTAACCGTTCTACCGATAGTAGAAGAGACGACAAATGCACTGCGAGTGGGTTGTAGAGTTATAGGCGGGAGCGGTAGCCTCTCAAAGTGCACCCTCACGGCACCGAACCGAAGACCTTTCAATGTAAGGTTGGGAACCGCAACCGATCGCTACCTGACGCTCGGCACCGATTTCAACAAGGGCGTTTGCGTCATAGAGGTCGGGAAGTTTTACCTACCGCTCAAAGCACGTTAACGCCCTCGCTGTTTCAGATCCAAAAACCTCTGCTAAGCTTCGAACACGGCTATTGGAGTTGCAATATGATCGGTCCGAACAGGATTAAATACGGGGGAACGTACTTAAAAGTGGGCAGGGCAAAACGTGAGTACTCAAATTTCATTGGACATCACGTACTGCCCTGCGATGACCCGAGAACAAACTTAAGTCAGGCATTAAAAAAAATGCGTGTCTAAGTCGCTCATTAAGTAAAAAAGTTCAAGTTTCATTAGAAAATTCCAAACAGTTCGTGCGAAAAATGAGTTGTCGGAAATCGACTGCGATTTTTGAATATATTTTTACCCTGTAAAATCCAAAACAGTAGCAATCGTCAAGGCTCAGAACGCTAGAAGAAAGTCACAAACAAACCATCGATTGTCTTCCAACAAAAAACTGCTCGCGAATTTGCAAAAAGTCAGAAATACACCCTATCAACCTATACATTGTTAAAAACAATAATTGATAACAACCCAGTCGAAGACGAGCTGAGCACAACCGAGGACACAAACCTCGGCATCAGAGTGAAGATGTTTGCTATGGTAACTTTTCTTAAGCTGAACTTCTACTCTGCCTAGGTTTGTGTCTCTAAATTTATAATTTTTGAGCCTATACTGTCAAAAATCGTAATTTCAGAGACATTGCCGAGCGAGCCGAAGGCGAGTTCGGCACAAACCTAGGCAAAAATGACGTTCAGCCTAAGAAGTAACCCTAACAAATCTAAACTTTGTTAAAATTGATGGCAATCGTGCCGAACACGAGTCGAACCTAACCTAGGGCACAACCCTTGGCAGAGTTTGGTATGGTAACTTTTCTTAAGCGGAACTTTTACTCTGCCTAGGTTTGTGCCGAACAAGCCTACGGCTCGCTCGGCAATGTCTCTAAATTTATCATTTTTAAACAAACCTAGTTTACCTATGCTGTCAAAAATCATAATCCCAGAGCCATTGCCGAGCGAGCCGAAGGCGAGTTTGGCACAACCCTAGGCAGAGATGAAACTCAGCCTAAGAAGTAACCCTAACAAATCTAAACTTGGTTAAAATTGATGGCAATCGTGTCGAACACGAGTCGAACACAACCGAGGGCACAACCCTAGGCAGAGTTTGGTATGGTAACTTTTCTTAAGCGGAACTTTTACTCTGCCTAGGTTTGTGCCGAACTCGCCTACGGCTCGCTAGCCAATGTCTCTAAGTGTACCATTTTTAAGCAAACCTAGTTTGCCTATGCTATCAAAAATTGTAATTCCAGAGGCATTTCCGAGCGAGCCGAAGGCAAGTTCGGAACAAACCTAGGCAAAGATGAAGTTCAGCCTAAGAAGTAACCCTAACAAATCTAAACTTTGTTAAAATTGATGGCAATCGTGCCGAACACGAGTCGAACCTAACCTAGGGCACAACCCTTGGCAGAGTTTGGTATGGTAACTTTTCTTAAGCGGAACTTTTACTCTGCCTAGGTTTGTGCCGAACTCGCCTACGGCTCGCTCGGCAATGTCTCTAAATGTATCATTTTTATGCAAATCTAGTTTGCCTATGCTATCAAAAATCGTAATTCCAAAGGCATTTCCGAGCGAGCCGAAGGCAAGTTCGGAACAAACCTAGGCAAAGATGAAGTTCAGCCTAAGAAGTAACCCTAACAAATCTAAACTTTGTTGAAATTGATGGCAGTCGTACCAAACACGAGTCGAACACAACCGAGGGCACAACCCTTGGCAGAGTTTAATATATTAACTTTTCTTAAGCTGAACTTCTACTCTGCCTAGGTTTGTGCCGAACTCGCCTACGGCTCGCTCGGCAATGTCTGTAAATTTATCATTAAGCAAACCTAGTTTACCTATTATGTCAAAAACCGTAATTCCAGAGGCATTGCCGAGCGAGCCGAAGGCAATGTCTCAAAATATATAATTTTTGGGCCTATACTGTCAAAAATCGTAATTTCAGAGACATTGCCGAGCGAGCCGTAGGCGAGTTCGGCACAAACCTAGGCAGAGTAAAAGTTCCGCTTAAGAAAAGTTACCATACCAAACTCTGCCAAGGGTCGTGCCCTAGGTTAGGTTCAACTCGTGTTCGGCACGATTGCCATCAATTTTAACAAAGTTTAGATTTGTTAGGGTTACTTCTTAGGCTGAACGTCATTTTTGCCAAGGTTTGTGCCGAACTCGCCTTCGGCTCGCTCGGCAATGTCTCTGAAATTACGATTTTTGACAGTATAGGCTCAAAAATGATAAATTTAGAGACATTGCCGAGCGAGCCGGAGGCGAGTTCGGCACAAACCTTGGCAAAAATGACGTTCAGCCTAAGAAGTTACCCTAACAAATCTAAACTTTGTTAAAATTGATGGCAATCGTGCCGAACACGAGTCGAACCTAACCTAGGGCACAACCCTTGGCAGAGTTTGGTATGGTAACTTTTCTTAAGCGGAACTTTTACTCTGCCTGGGTTTGTGCCGAACTCGCCTACGGCTCGCTCGGCAATGTCTCTAAATTTATCATTTTTGAGCCTATACTGTCAAAAATCGTAATTTCAGAGACATTGCCGAGCGAGCCGAAGGCGAGTTCGGCACAAACCTTGGCAAAAATGACGTTCAGCCTAAGAAGTTACCCTAACAAATCTAAACTTTGTTAAAATTGATGGCAATCGTGCCGAACACGAGTTGAACCTAACCTAGGGCACGACCCTTGGCAGAGTTTGGTATGGTAACTTTTCTTAAGCGGAACTTTTACTCTGCCTAGGTTTGTGCCGAACTCGCCTACGGCTCGCTCGGCAATGTCTCTAAATGTATCATTTTTAAGCAAATTTAGTTTGTCTATGCTATCAAAAATCGTAATTCCAGAGGCATTGCCGAGCGAGCCGAAGGCAAGTTCGGAACAAACCTAGGCAAAGAATGAAGTAACCCTAACAAATCTAAACTTTGTTGAAATTGATGGCAATCGTACCAAACACGAGTCGAACCTAACCTAGGGCACATCCCTTGGCACAGTTTGGCATGGTAACTTTTCTTAAGCCGAACTTTTACTCTGCCTAGGTTTGTGCCGAATTCGCCTACGGCTCGCTCGGCAATGTCTCTAAATTTATCATTTTTGAGCCTATACTGTCAAAAATCGTAATTTCAGAGACATTGCCGAGCGATCCGAAGGCGAGTTCGGCACAAACCTAGGCAAAAATGACGTTCAGCCTAAGAAGTAACCCTAACAAATCTAAACTTTGTTAAAATTGATGGCAATCGTGCCGAACACGAGTCGAACCTAACCTAGGGCACAACCCTTGGCAGAGTTTGGTATGGTAACTTTTCTTAAGCGGAACTTTTACTCTGCCTAGGTTTGTGCCGAACAAGCCTACGGCTCGCTCGGCAATGTCTCTAAATTTATCATTTTTAAACAAACCTAGTTTACCTATGCTGTCAAAAATCATAATCCCAGAGCCATTGCCGAGCGAGCCGAAGGCGAGTTTGGCACAACCCTAGGCAGAGATGAAACTCAGCCTAAGAAGTAACCCTAACAAATCTAAACTTGGTTAAAATTGATGGCAATCGTGTCGAACACGAGTCGAACACAACCGAGGGCACAACCCTAGGCAGAGTTGTATGGTAACTTCGTCTACTCTACCTAGGAAACACATGAATTTCTTATCGTTTTTAAGAAAATTGGTAATTACCTACACGGCTGTCACTTCTACAGGGTGTCCACAGGGTCGATAAGTTACTATTTCGCGTTTAATCTTGACAAAAATTGATGATTTTTAGTTGACGTTTAGGCAAAAATTAGTAATTACAGATGTCACTTCTACAGGGTGTTCGTAAGGTCTATAAACACTCATTTTCCGATTTTTAAGTGTTTTTGAGGCATTTTCGGGAGAATCGAAAGGAAATCGCGCTTGATTTACGAGATAAAAGCGGATGATATGAATTATCATTTTAAGGAAAATTGGTAATTGTATTAGTGCCGATTGTACAGGGTGTTTATCTGCTCATGAGTCAATAAACTCTCACTTGTCTATTTTAGGCTTTTTTCTGCAAAATCGGACGTTGGGTTTGATTTTGACGAAACATATGATTTCACGTATTTCACATATACAGGACGTTCATAAAGTCAATGAACACCCACTTTTCGCTTTTTAAGAGGATTTGGGGCATTTTCTGGAAAATCCAAAGGAAGTAGCATAAGATTTTGAGAAAAACATATGATATTAATTAACATTTTGAGGGCAATTAGTCTACTGTCGCTTGTACAGGGTGTTCATATAGAGTCAATATCCAGAAAAAACAAAAGAACTCGGCTATTTTGTCAAAAACAGGCGATTTTAGTTAGTGTTTTTGAAAAAAATAGTAATTACCCGGATGCCACTCCTACAGGGTGTTCATAAGGTTAATATAAACACACATCATCCGATTTTTAAGGGTTTTCCGGAGCATCCAACAGCACTACTCCTTGATTTTGACAAAAACGGATGATAATAATTAGCATTTTTAGGAGTCGCTTGTAAGGGCTGTTCATTTTTAGAGTTTTTTGAGGCATTTTCCGCAAAATCCTAAGGACTTTGGTTGCTTCATTAGTGTCGCTTGTACAGGATGTTCAATAATTGTTCATAGAGTCCATAAACACCCATTTTCCCATTGTAGAGAATTTTTGGGACATTTTGCGCAAAATCGTAAGGACTTTGCGCTTGATTTTGACGAAAATATATGATATTAAATAAAATCTTCCGATGTATTTTCTACAGGGTGTTCATAAAATCAATGAACTCACTTTTTCCGATTTTCAATGATTTTAGGGGCATTTTCCTTAGTTTCCAACAGAAATCGCGTTTTAATTTTCACGAAAACGTAGGGCATTAATTAGCATCTTTGAAAAAATGAGTAATTGCATTGATCTCACTTCTACAGGGTGTTCATGGAGTCAATGAACCGATTTTAATAGTTTTTGCATCATTTTCCTGACCATCGAAAGGAAATCGCGTTTGATTTTGACCGAAAAGTAAGGTGACTTTTCATAAGCTAAACTTCTACTATGCCTACGTTTGTGCCGAACTCGCCTTCGGCACGCTCGGCAATGTCTCTAATTTTATCATTTTTAAGCAAATCTAGTTTACAGGTGTTGTCAAAAATTGTAATTCCAAAGGGATTGTCGAGCGAGCCGAAGGCAAGTTCGGCACAATCTTAAGAATAGTAGAGGTTCAGCCTAAAAAATCACTCCAGCAAACCTAGGCTTTGTTAAAAAATGATAATTGCAAAATTGATGGCGATCGTGCCAAATGCGAGCCGAACCCAACCGAGGGCACAGCCCTTGGTAGAGTGGAGAGGTTTGTTATGGTAACTTTTCTTAAGCTAAACTTTATGCCTAGGTTTGTCTCTAAGTTTATCATTTTTAAAAGCAAATCTAGTTTCTAGTTACCCTCACCAAGACCGCTTCTTCGACGTGCAATTGAAATTTATCCTCCAGTTGCTTTCTGCACGGACCGCCAATAGAATCCCCGCTGAGTTACGGCGTGACTTTCTTGTCCCCTATCTTAGAAATGCTGCGAAAATCTGATTTCTCGCTCTTGGCTTAATTTCTATCTTCGGAATCTGCCGAGTGGGCGGTTCAAACTTTCAAAATGCAAAACGCGGCAGCTTCGGCACCGCGTTAAATGCATCTTTCCCACTATTTACACTCATATTTATAGTTACAGTTGAGTATCTATACTTGCATTTTTACCAAACTGTACAATTTTCTGCATTCGGAAGCTAGTTACGTCCTCATCAAATCCTTAAAATCAGTTTTGATTTAGATCCTTGAAATTTTTGATAGTTCGCAAAGCGCAGCACGTGAAATCAGACAAAAGGTGCCATTCTACTAATGCTAATCTTTTTTTTGGCGTTGCATAGCCCCTACCTACACAAAACGCTCAACAGTCGTCACGGAGTTGAATAAGACCCTGACCGTACACTGCGAAGTGCCCTACACCACTGACTATTGCTTTATAATATCGCCCAACGGCACCAAATACACCAACGAAGATGATGTCCGAATCAATTTGGGACAGTGCTCTTTCACAATCCAGCAAACCTACCCCTCGGACAACGGCACCTGGATGTGCACCTACGCGCGCAAAACTGGCATCCCCAACGAAAACATAATCGTCGAAGTGGTGGTCAGCGACATTCTCCGCGCCTATCCTAACATCGAGGTCGACGCCGGCAACAACGCGCAGCTATTGTGCAACACGGTCGGAGTACCGCTCGCCTACTGCCAATTCACGGCGCCCAACGGCACTATCTACCACGTGAGGAAGGAGGACAGCACGACAGAGTACGTATGACTTTCCGGCGGCTCAACCGTTCTTATTTCCGCTCGGCAGCCTTCGCTACTACGGGAAAGGTCTGGAGCGCGGGGAGTGCGGCATTTCGCTAATCAAGGCCAGAACCGAGGACAGCGGTCCGTGGCGCTGCGCCGTCGCGCTCATCCGCGACGAGAAACGTACGGAAATCGCCGCCAACGTGATGCTGACCGTCGTCCCGCCTTCAGGTGAGATTGGACCGAAATCTCATTTTCTAAACGGCAGTTTTTAGAGATTAACGTCGCCGGTTTGGGGATAGGGGTCGCCGTTGCTCTGCTTGTGGTCACGGGCGGCGTCGGCTTTCTAGTGTACCTCAGGTGGAGGCGGAGGCGACACCAGGTGATTGAACTCGGCGAAGATATAGAAATGCGAAGCGACACGATTAGTAATTCAAGCTCGGAGAGTCGACATTAAGTTTTTATCTTTTCTTTTATTACATTGTCTATCGATACCGATTGTTCTATTGATAAAGTTTGAAAGTCAAGTGTACTCTCCTTGAGTGGATGACAATGAAAGATTTATACGCATCGGTAAAATGCAGTCAAGGACAAATGTACCTAAAACAGGATGCAGAAGAAGGGGTTTCTAAAACTGCGGGGGCCTCATTCACTGGGGACTAGTACCAGTAAAGCGAAGCGCTTTCTGGATTCGCCCCTAGGTACCGCTTGAACACTTACTCCTTAGCAGCTTTGAAAGGTTTTTAAGAAACTGTAAGAGCTTTTAATACTCTTGCGAGTGTACAGGGCCTCCCAAGTGCGCTCACAGGCCTTTGTAAGTTTGTAAAAGTTGGCAACAGGGTCCAAAAGCCCTTCCAAAGGCTTCAGATGCCATCTAAAAAATCTCAAAGCGTTGGAGAGGCTTAGAGAGTATACGGTTTTTAAAAGTCTTCGTAATTCATTAAAAGTGACATGTGTTTAAGAGACTTAACGGCTCTTTGGCAGTACTTAAAGAGTCTCCGCAAGCTTTATTTCAGCTTCACAGCTGATCAAGAGCTTGTAATGCAGTAAATGCAAAAGTAATTTAAATCTCCACGGGAACGGTTACAAAAGTGATCAGTTATATACGATAAATAGCTTGCTTGTACTGTCAGCGGTTGACATACGTACAACGCATAGGCCCAGCGTATACGATTGTAGTCTTGAAGTATCCGGTTGAGTGCACTTATATACAGTGTGTTCATTGGGTCTGGTAAATGTCATGGCGCCAAACGAGTGCTTCGTTACACAGCCTCTTCTCTCTCTCGTTTCTTGTACGCCTATCCAGTACGCACAAATACACAATAATTTAGCCCTGGACAGGCGCTTATTGCCAGTTGCACACCTTTCGTGAAGGTAGGGGAAACAGCTGGAGGAAGTAAGCTAAAGCTTCTAGAACGTTCGAAGATTACAATTTTCAAAAACGCCAGTCTCTTGTTTAATAAAGACGACAGATTTCTCTGCAATTGAAGAGAAACCACAGTTTTTGGATGCAGTAAAAAAATAAAACCTATCACTCCACCACTGGAAGTGAGACGTGACCAACCTGCAGTAGACACTTCCCGGTACTTGAGATACAGTCAGAGCCCCAGAACAAAAAACTTAGAAGGGAAACGTAAACGGGAACAACTGAGTACAAATATAATTAGTTTGGAGAACATTCAATAGATGGCGCATAGTTAGCGTTCGTGTTAAAGTTACTAAATCTAGTGACTTTAGTGCGTGTGCGCCATTATGACAGTTGAATTTTGAATTTTGATTGACGGCTTATTGTACTTTAAGTATAATTACTATTCATTATTACAATGAATTATGCATATACAAGTCGAGAACGTAAATGTTGTGTGACAAATTGTGAAGACGTTTCCCAAAAATGGAGCCCGAAGTTTTTAAGAATTGGTTTAGAATATAATGTGGAAGAAATTTACACAACAGTTTTTGGTTTGTGAACGTCATTTTTCTGGCTGCCCTTTAGAACCTGGAACACGAAGAGATTTAAAGCGTGTGGCAGTTCGCACATTATATTTAGCAGGTAACACTAATTGAATTGTAATAAATTGCTACATGTTTTGTTTTTAGAGCGATCTCGAGAGCATCATACAGTAGAGTTCCATGACGTTGATCTTGTATCTTGTATAATCATATTAAATTAAATATAACTCCTTGATTGGATTAATTGGAGTTGTTACTTATAAAACAAGTACCCTGTACTCTTTGAAGGCCCTGACTGGTGAGGTGCATCCGCATTAAACTGAATTCATTTGGATCCCTAACAAACAAAATTGGACTTCACTGGCTGGATTCATTTACCTTTTAGGTTTCAGCTAGTCAAATCCAATGTTATTGTTACAGATCCGGAGAAATTAGTATAATGCGGACGTAGCTTACATTTTAATATTTAAATTTGGCGCCATTCACGCAAAAGCTGCTGAGAACATACACGAGATGGCGCGTCATTTTTACATTACATTACAGTTTCCATTCTAAGTTTGTTGTTCTATGGTCAGAGCATTTTACGTCTGGAGCTAGTTAGTGGATACAAAAAATTGTAAATGGACGGAAATGATGTACCACTGATTAAAATCGAACCAAAACAAGAAGAAGAAATAAATTCCGGTCTTCAAGATAACATTTTGGTAAGCAACGAAGCGTTGGTTACAATAAAGGAAGAAAGTACCAATACTGCACAGTGCTCCAAATCGCTCAATAATGAAGTACAACAAACTGATTGTGAATGGAACATTAAAACTGATATTTCTGATTTTCAATGTGACTTTGGTCAATACACAACAAATAATTCTAAAGACCTTAAATGTGCTAATTGTGATTACAAGACAAGTAACAAATACTACTTTAAACGACACCTGTTAAATCATAACGATTCTAAAGCTTTTAAATGTGCTCACTGTGATTATGGAACAAATAATAAACAATGTCTTAAATCACACCTTTTGAAACATACCAATCCTAAAGTTTTTAAATGTGCTCATTGTGATTATGGAACAAATAATAAACAATGTGTTAAATCACATCTTTTAAAACATACCACCAATTCTAAAAGTTTTAAATGTGCTAATTGTGATTATGAAACAAATTACAAAACCAGCTTTAAACAACACCTTTTAAATCATACCGATTCGAAACATTTAAAATGTGCTAATTGTGATTACGAGACAAATTACAAAAGCAATTTTACACGACACCTTTTAAATCATACCGATTCTAAAGATTTTAAATGTGCTAAATGTAACTACGAGACAAGTAACAAATATCACTTTCAACGACACTTTTCAAACCATACCGATTCTAAGGATTTTAAATGTGCTCATTGTGATTATGGCACAAATAATAAGCAATACCTTAAATCACACCTTTTAAAACATACAGATTCGAAAGATTTAAAATGTGCTCATTGTGATTATGAAACGAATAATAAACAATGTTTTAAATCACACCTTTTAAAACATACAGATTCTCAAGAATTTAAGTGTGTTAATTGTGAGTACAAGACAAATGTTAAAGTCTATTTTAAACGACACCTTTTAAGACACACAAACCCTTGTAACATTTCTTATTAAGTATTAATTCTGTAATATGTGGCATTGTGACTTATGTAATAACATTTGAAATGTTGTCTAAATGATTCTTTTTATTGTAGACAGCCATTTCATAATTTATTTGCGTCGTTAAGAGGAGTAAAAGGTACATGAATTGTAGGATATGCGTATGGGAGCTAACATACAAGTAATCTATTTTTTCTCTCGCTCTAAGACCTTAAGATTTTTTTTTTAATTTTTAATTTCGGCATTTGCTTAGTTGTGGAACTCATGTCATCATTAAGATAAGTTGTCATTTATAAATTTTTCATTCGCGCAAAAAAAAATAATAAATGCCACTGTCGGCCCACTATTCGTCACCGAAAATGACTGCAGCAGTTCACAGAAACTAGGTTTCCAAACAAAATTTATTTTTACAAACAATTATTAAATCTCAAGCTCGGCTTGCCTAAATTATACGAGACTCTAAACTTACCGGGTTCGTAAACGCACGTGAAAAATACACATTCATGTTCTTCCAACCCGACAGACGTGTTTTAAAGTCATTGTACAATTTCACCAACCTTTAAGTTAGGCTGTCATTCTTTTTAATTGTGTAGAAAAAAAAGTGAAAAGTGTAAAAATGTTGTCTTGAATACAAGATTACGGAGTAGAAAAAGAATAAAAATGATAAAAACATCTTGATTTAATTATTTACGTTGGTTGATGGTAGTTGGTACTACTGAGTTGATGTAAAAATTTCCAGAAAAATAGAACTAATCCGACAAGAAATTGATCAAGTTATTGCATCCAATTTTGTGTTTACCTTGTCAAAGCGACTTGAGCAAGAAATTGATCCATTTTTTGTTGATGTAAAACCAGCTTTAAGAGGATTTGCGTGCCAGTGCTAACGTATGAGAATGAAGGAACTGCGTAGGTACGTTTTTCGTACCACAATTTAAGCAAACGCTCATCGTAGTTAGGCGTTCCCCGACTAAGTAACACCAGAGCAGGGATATTTGGAATATTGATACGCCACTGGAGTTAGAAAAGCTTCTACTTGAGCCACAGAAAGAACAAAAGCTTATCTACTTGGTCCAAAGCAGAGATAGACACATCTATATCTCTGGTTCAAAGCTATAAATAGACTAATGGTAAGAAATCGTTCCAATAATTCCAATATTGATTTTTATAAACAAAAATTCTAACAAATATTTTGATAACGTTGTTGATGCTAGATATGGACGGAAATGATGTCATTAAAATCGAACCAAAACAAGAAGAAGAAATCCATTTAGATCTCCAAAAAAATTGTTTAGTAAGTAACGAAGCATTGGTTACAATAAAGGAGGAGGTTACCATCACTGCACAGTGCTCTAAATCGCTCGATAATAAAGAAATACAACAAACTGATTGTGGATGGAATGTCAATACTGAAATATCCAATGATTTTGAATGTGACTTGGATCAACACACAAGAAACACTAAGCTGCAACCTAAACAACATATTTCAAAAAATACTATTTTAAAAGAGTTTACCTGTGTTAATTGCGATTATCGAACAAAGAAAAAACAACTGCTTCAACAGCACATTTTAAATCACAAACATAATGCGCTACAATGTGCTGATTGTGATTACAAGACAAATCGGAAAAACAACTTCAAACGACACCTTTTAACACATAAAGATTCTAAAGATTTTAAATGTGGTAATTGTCATTATCAGACAAATTACAAATACTGTTATAAACAGCACCTTTTAAAACATCTAGATTCTAAAGATTTTAATTGTGCTCATTGTGATTACACGACAAACAGTAAAAGATACTTAAAACCACATCTTCTAAAACATAAAGATTCTAAACATTTTAAATGTGATAGTTGTGATTATGAGACAAATTACCAAAGCAACCTTACACGACACCTATTAAGTCATACCGATTCTAAGGATTTAAAATGTGCTAAATGTAATTATGAGACCAGTAACAAACACCACTTTAAACGGCACTTTTTAAATCATACCGACTCTAAAGATTTTAATTGTGCTCATTGTGATTATGGAACAAATATTAAACAATATCTTAAATCTCACCTTTTTAAACATACCGTGTCTAAAGCTTTAAAATGTGCCCATTGTGATTATGAAACTAATAATAAAGAATCTCTTAAATCACACCTTTTAAAACATGCCGCTATTAAAGATTTTAATTGTACTAATTGTGATTACAAGACAAACTGCAAAAAAAACTTTACTCAGCACCTTTTAAAACATATCGATTATAAACATTTTAAATGTGCTGATTGTCATTACGAGACAAATTACAAAAGCAACTTTAAGCAACATCGTTTAATTCATACCGATTCTAAAGATTTTAAATGTGCCCATTGTGATTATGGAACAAATATTAAACAGTATCTTAAATCTCACCTATTAAAACATACCGATTCTAAAGATTTTAAATGTGCCGATTGCGATTATGGAACAAATAATAAACAACGTCTTAAATCGCACCTTTTGAAACATACCGGCTCTAAAGATTTTAAATGTACCAATTGTGATTACAAGACAAATTACAAAAACAACTTTACACGACACCTTTTACAACATAGGTACTGATTCAAATGTGTTTTTCTCAGATATTTTCATTTGTAAATAAAGATTTCTTTCAAATGAATGATTCCGTAATAACAAAATAATTATATATTACTGAGTGAGTGGTCGACCAGTATGACCCACACAAAAATGTCAGATTTAAAAAAATGGGATTCTCTACTATTCGTCACAGACTATGACTGCAAATGATCGAAAGCAAAAACAGAGGCGAGATAAGAGACGTCCGAAGAGGACCAAATATATATTCTAGTCGCGAAAATTAAAGTGAAACGGAAGGGGAAACATGCTTGAGATGTCCATATCTCTTCGAGTACCCTGTATATTTAATTGTATGCAACCAGTCAAGTACTTGGATATTCTGGGGACATAAGCCACCGCCGCCGCGTTCTGTTAATTGTTTTTGCTGCCTGCCAACGAGACTTCATTTCCAGTTGTTGTTTGGGTCTTTATATATAGTTTACGAACGCTTTATCGGAAACCTTGCATTTCGATATTCAGATAGTTCTGCCTTGTATTGTATATTTTGAGTTAAGCGAAAAACCAAAGGGAACGATGGAGGATAATATAAAAAAATAAAACTTATCGATGCGCCACTGGAGTGAGACGCTTTTACCTACACCGGTCCTTGAGCTACATCCAGAACTTTGTCTACGTCTGTACCTAGACCTATAAATAGACTGACTCCAAAGAACAAAACACGTAACGGCATTAATGCTGGATATGGACGGAAATGATGTCGTGCCAATTATTAAAATCGAACCAAAACACGAAGAAGAAATCCAATCCGATCTTCAAGATAACATTTTAGTAAACAACGAAACATTGGTTACAATAAAGGACGAAATTTCCATTACTGCACAGTGCTCCAAATCGCTCGATAATGAAGTACAACAAACTGATTGTGCATGGAATATTAAAACTGACATTTCCAACGATTTTCAGTGTGACTTTGGTCAACACACAACAGATAATAAGCTGCAAGTTTTAACGCGTAATGTTTTAGAAGTCTTTAACTGTGCTCATTGTGATTATGGAACAAAGAATAACCAACTGCTTCAACGGCACAATTTAACACACACGACGCGTAATGTGCTACAGTCTTTCAGTTGTTCTGACACAAGTTACAAACCCAGTTTTAAACTACACCTTTTAAAACATACCGATTCTAAAGATTATAAATGTGCCCATTGTGCTTATCGAACAAATAAAAAACAATGTCTTAAATCACACCTTTTAAAACATATCGATTCTAAAGATTTAAAATGTGCTCATTGCGATTATGCTACAAATAAGAAACAATATCTTAAATCACACCTTTTAAAACATATCGATTCTAAAGAATTTAAATGTGTTAAATGTAATTACGAGACAAGTAACATATACCACTTTAAACAACACCTCTTAAAACATACTGATTCTAAAGATTTTAAATGTGCTAAGTGCGATTTTAAGACAAGTAACAAATATTACTTTAAACAACACATTTTAACACATACCGATTCTAAAGATTTCAAATGTGCTATTTGTGATTATAAGACTAATTACAAAAGCAGCTTTACACAGCACCTTTTAAATCATACCGATTCTAAAGATTTCAAATGTGCTCATTGTGATTATGAAACAAATAAAAAGCAATGTCTTAAATCACACCTTTTAAATCATACCAGTTCTAAATATTTTAGATGTGTTCATTGTGATTATGGAACAAATAGAAAACAATGTCTTAAATCACACCTTTTAAAACATATCGATTATAAAGAATTTAAATGTGCTCATTGTGAGTATGAAACCAATATTAAACAATGTCTTAAAACACATCTTCTAAAACATACCGATTCTAAAGATCTTAAATGTGCGCATTGTGATTTCGGGACAAGTAACAAATACTACTTTAAACGACACCTTCTAAAACATGCAGATTCTAAAGAATTTAAATGTGCTAATTGTGATTACAATACGAATTACAAAAACAGTTTTACACGACACCTTTTAAATCATATCGATTCTAAAGAATTTAAATGTGCCACTTGTGATTATGAGACAAATCACAAAACCAGTTTTAAGCAACATCTTTTAAATCATACCGATTGTAAAGATTTTAAATGCGGTCATTGTGATTATGGGACGAATAATAAACAATGTCTTAAATCACACCTTTTAATACATACCGATTCAAAAGCTTTTAAATGTGTTCATTGTAATTATGGAACAAATAAAAAACAATGTCTGAAATCACACCTTTTAATACATATTGATTCTAAAATTTTTAAATGTGCTCATTGTCATTATGGAACAAATAAAAAACAATGCCTTAAATCGCATCTTTTAAAACATACCGATTCTAAACATTTTAAATGTACGAATTGTGATTACAAGACAAATTACAAAAATAACTTTACACAACACCTTTTAAGTCATACTGATTCTAAAGAATTTAAATGTGCTAAATGCAATTACGAGACAAGTAACAAATACCACTTTAAACAACACCTTTTAAAACATACCGACTCTAAAACTTTTAAATGTGCCAATTGTGATTACGAGACAAATTACAAAACCAGCTTTAAACAACACCTTTTAAAACATACCGATTCTAAAGATTTTAAATGTGTTAATTGTGACTATGAAACAAATTATAAAACCAGCTTTAAACAACACCTTTTAAATCATACCAACGCCAAGGAGTTTAAATGTGCTCATTGCGATTATGAAACAAATAATAAACAATGTTTTAAATCACACCTTTTAAAACACAACAGTTCTAAAGATTTGAAGTGTGCCCATTGTGATTATGGAACAAATAAAAAGCAATGTCTTAAATCGCATCTTTTAAAACATGCAGATACGAAGGTTTTTAAGTGTACTAATTGTGATTACAGGACAAATTACAAAAAGAACTTTACAAGACACCTTTTAAAACATTCCGATTCTAAAGAATTTAAATGTGCTAATTGTGATTACCAGACAAATAGTAAACTCTATTTTAAGCGACACCTTTTAACGCACGCAAACCGTTTTTACAAGGAAGAAACTTCTCTTTAAGTTTATTAATTCTGTGTCACATATTTTTGTTTACAAATGTTGAAAACACATTTCGCAATATGCAGTGGTTTTTTTGGTATATAGAATAGAATATGCATAAGTATATGGAATCAAACATAACTTAAACGTATGTAATTTTCTGCTTTAATTTTTACCTATTATGCGAGCTGTTAGAATTAAATTTGCTTACATGTAAAAACTATGTCGATTTAACAATTTTGTAATGATAAAGAAATAATAGGTATTTATTTATAAGGATTTTCTTGAATTTATTGTTTAATTAGTGAACAACGAAGTCAATATTTAGTCTATTTGGCAATTATGTGAACCACCTGGTCGTCCACTATGACCCTTAAATGTCATGTAGAACTGCAGGAAAATAAATGAGACTACCACTTCACTATTTGTTACTGAAAATGACTTCAAAAGGATATTAAAACTTGGTTAAACATTTATTTTCGCAATTTTATAAATCGCATTAGGAAGTCTCTTCTACATGAAATGCATTGGTGATTAGTCGGCTTTCTCTAGTCCAGAAGGTATCTGAAGGTCCTGGATATGGTAACCTTAGACTACATTCCGGCATTTACGGTCACTACTTTAAGTCGTTTACACGAGCTTATTGCTACTCACACAGCTTCATTGCCTACACTTCACCTCTTGGAGGAAGAGCACAAACGCTCCCCGTAGAAGGTAAACAAATCGAGTAAATGTGATTAAAATTACGCCACTCTTTTTGTTCACTAGAGACGAAGGATTTATTCGCAAGAGAGGATTAAAGTTTCGTAAACTCATCGCTCCGCCACTGGAAGTTACGTTGAGCATGAAAGTGAACACTTGTCGGTACTTGAGATACAGCCAGAACATTTTGTGCAACTGTACCCAGAGACTAGTAGCACAGCTTACTTACTATCCAGCTGCACAACTCTCTTGGCGGGAGCGGTTTGCGCCGATCTACGCGCGCAGTGCTTATGCCCCGCCTCTTGGGGTAAAAGACTGCATTGCCTGTTTTGGCGTGCAATCAAGCCCAGTGTTGCCACGTAGTAAATCAGATTTACTCACACTCACAATTGCTAAAAGTAGACATAACAGGCGCTTTTTTCAGTTTCAATTAGGCAATAAAATTTATTAAACACTTTCATTGCAATATTACGTAATATTGTACAGCAAATTCTAAACGTTCACATTACAATACAGCACAAAAATCACCTACTACGGTACTGTGAAGCGACCGTGCGATGAAAATTCGTTTAATCCGGCCCCGACTTTTACCCCAAGCGCGAGAAAGTGCGCACCATTCTATCTCGCTTGGTTGTGGACCGCCAGATCAAAGGCGCCGCTCGAGAGTTGCGGAGCTGGATAGTAAGTAAGCTGTGCTAGTAGTGGCTGGTAAGAAATTTGCGTAATTGTTTCTTGATAACGTTATTGCTGCTAGAAATGAACGAAAATGATGACGCCGTTCCACTTGTCAAAATCGAACCAAAACAAGAAGAAGAAATCCATGCCCATCTTCAAGATAACATTTTAGTAAGTAACGAAGCATTGGTTACAATAAAGAACGAAAGTACCAATACTGCACAGTGTTCCAAATTGTTCAATATTGAAGAATTACAACAACAAACTGATTGTGAATGGAATATTAAAGTTTCTAATGATTTTTTTGGTGACTTCAATCAACAAACAACAAACAGTCAGCTGCAGGGTCTTTTGAAGCATAGTGTTTCAGGCTATAACTGTGCTCATTGTGAATATGGAACAAAGAATAAACAACTGCTTCAACGGCACATTTTAACACACAAAAGTTATGCTCTACAATGTGGTAGTTGTGATTACAACACAAATAGTACATCCTACTTTAAAAAACACCTTTTAACACACAAAATTTCTAAAGATTTTAAATGTCCTGATTGTGATTATGAGACAAACTACAAATACTACTTTAAGCAACACCTTTTAAATCATACTGATTCTAAAGATTTTAAATGTGAGCATTGTGATTATGGAACAAATGTAAAACAGTGCCTCAAAATACACATTTTAACACACAAACTTTCTAGAAACGTGCTAAAATGTGCGATTTGTGCTTACGAGACAAGTAACAAATATCACTTTAAGCGACACCTTTTAAATCATGCCCATGTTAAGGATTTTAAATGTGGTAATTGTAATTA